TGGGTGTATTTTCAGTTATTGTTTTTACAGTACTATTATTATTATCTATGATTGTTGATTGTATTTGTTTTTCTTCAGATTTCTTTATTATTTCATTACCAATTTTAAAAAATTCAGAGTTTTTCTCTTTGTTGACTATCATTCTATTCTTTAGCTCTTGAAGATTTTCAAATATATTTTGAAGCATTTGATTAATTTTTTCATTTTTATTTAAATTTTCATCGAATTTTATGTCAAATGGTAATATTGCTTTATTGTTGCTACTATTATTATTACTGTTGTTTATTGTATTGTTTTTATTTTTATCCTCAACAGTTGTTGCTGTTGGTGATGTCAAACTATCTACATCACTCATTTTATTTGTTTGATTTTATTCTGTTTATTATGTATTATATTTTTTATTTTTTATTTATTTATTTATTTATTTATTATACTATATATTATTACTATATTATTATTATTACTATTATTAAAGTATAAATCTATAAATTACAATTATTTTGAGGTTAAATCACTCTCAACCCCCTAAATATATATTTTTTAAAAAAATTAAAAAAAAAAAAATAAAAAAAAATTAATAAAAAAATTTTTAAAAAAATTTTAAAAAAAAAATTTTAAAATAAATAATTTTTATACAAATAAATGACTTATCTTTTTTTTTTTTATAAAAAAAGTAATAGACTATACATACAATGTTTTTTAAACTCAAACAAAACTTAATTTAAAAAAAGATGAATATATATTAACTTTTCAAATAATAAAATAAAAAAAAAAAAAATATTTATTACAAAAGATAATAATTTTCCAAACTTTATTGATCAATGATAAAACAAAAAATTGCTAAACAAATAATATTAAAATAATAACATTTTTTAGATTTATTTATATTTTTATTTTATTTTTTTTATTTTTTCGTTTTTTTTTAATTATTTTTTTTTTATTTATTTTTTTTTTTTTTTTTTTTTTTTTTTTTACTTTTCGTTTTTTTGATTTTTTTTTTAAAATTAAAGTTTTTTTTTTCATTCAATTGTTATTTATATTTTTACAACTATCTATTTTTTTTTTAAAAAAAATTAAAAAAAGGGCTGTTAAAAAAAATAATAACAAAGGGAAATTAACCTTAAAAAAAAAGTCAGTTGATGAACTCTACGGAAAGAGTGATATCGATGCTTGTAAGTAACCAAAACATTTATAAATAGTAAACCATTATTTTTATTATTAACATTTAATAATTATTTTTTTGTTAAATTATAGTTAAAGATAAAAAAACTAAAGTCGATTTATCATTAGTTAAAGGTGGTAAAAAAAATAATAGTAAACAACAAAAAAAACAAGAAGAAGAAGAAGAAAAATATAATATTGGTTTAGATATTTCAGATGAAGAAGTTGAAAACTTTGATAGTGATCAAGATGATTTCGAAGCTGAAGATTTCGACGATGACGAAGATGATGAAATTATAGAAAAGAAAACCAAAAAGAAAAACTTAGATTTAGAAAATAAATTAGCATGGGGTAAAAAGAAAGAAGATTTTTATGGTCGTCAAACTGATGCTAAAGATGTTGGTTCAGATGAAGAGGATGAAGAAGAAGAGGAAGCTAAAGAAGTTGAAAAATTCAGAAAACAATCAATTAAAGATGAAGATTATCAAGATGATCAATCATTCAAAAATTTAATCAATAAGAAAAATAATAATAAAACTACATTAAAACCAGAAGAAAAAATGTTACAATCATTAAACTCTGATTTAAACTCAATTGATTTTGGCAGTAAAAAGTAATTACATCTAGTTTTAAAAATATACTCAATTTAACATTCTCATTCTTATTAACACACTATTTTTTTTTTTTTTAGCTCACAAATCGAAAAATTAGAAAAGGATATTTCAAATTTCACTAAAAAAGAAAAATTACAATACCTCATTACAGAATCACCATTATTATTAGAGTTATTAGAAGATTTTAAGATTAAAATGAATGAAATCAAAACATCAGTTTTACCAGCTTTAGAAAAAGTCAAAAATAATGAAATTCCAACCAATAAAGGTATCAGTTTTTTAGAAACCAAATATCGTATGTATAGTTTAAAAAAAATTTATAAAACCCTAAAAAAACAATATATATTAACCTTTTCTTTTAATTATTATAGAATTATTATTAAGTTATTGTTTAAATATTACATATTTTTTAATGTTAAAATCATCAGGTTCATCAATTAAAGATCATCCAGTTATTGATCAAATTGTTAAATGTAGAACAATGTTGGAAAAGATTCAACCATTAGATAAGAAATTAAAATATCAAGTTGACAAGTTATTAAAGAGTGCAAATACAGGTTCATTAGTTGGTGCATCAAAAGATGATCCATTACAATACAAACCAAATCTTTCAGCTATTGATGGTGAAGAAGGAAGTGATGATGGTGAAGCAGACGATCAAGATGAAGATGGTTTCGAATTTATGAAAAATGGTGTATATCAAGCTCCAAGACTTTATGGTTCACGTGGTGGTTTAATCGATACTGAAGATATTGAAGCTAAAAAGAAGAGTAAGGATATTCGTGATAAAAAGAGAGCAATTAAAAGCTCAATGGCTAGAGAACTCGATGCCGAATATGGTGATCAACCAGCCGAAGAGTATGATTATTTCGATGGTGGTAGAACAAGTAATGGTAGTGTTTATGAAACTGATGCCCAAAAAGAAGTCAGAGATTACGAAGAAAGCAATTTCACTAGACTTCAATTAAGCAAGAAGGAAATCAAGAATATGAAATCAAAACAAAAGAGAATGAGCGATGGTCTCGACGATTTAGCTGATTTTAGTGAAATTAATGGTCTTATTGACACCGAAGAAGATAAAGAAAATAAAGAAAACCAAGCCTATTTACAAAAGAAGAGAATGCAAGCAGCTTTAAATAGTGTATCTCAATTAAACGCCAAAAAGAGAATTCGTTCCACCGATGAAGATGTACCATTAGCAGATAACAAAAATAAAAAACTCAACACTAGAATGTCCTCATATGACGACGATGATGAAATCGAAAGTGAAGATGAAGAAGAAAAAGTACCAGAATTTGATGGTATTCCAAAAACAAATTTCTACAATGGCTCTGAAGAAACTGCTGAAGGTTCAAAGAGAAAAATTAATAATACCATCGAAAAGAATAGAGGTCTCACCAGATATAGACCACGTGAAACCAGAACCCCACATCTTAAGAACAGAGTTAGATATGAAAAAGCCACCAAGAGAAGAGGTAACCAAATTAGTAAAGCCGAAAGAAAAGATACAAATTACACTGGTGTTAAAAATATTAGTGTTAATGCTCGTAAAGCTCAACCATATCTTTCATAATTTCATTTTAATAATTAAAATTTAAATAAATCATATAAATTTTTTAAAATATAAAATTTCTTTTTTTATTGATTTTTTTTATAATTTATATTATTTATTATTTATTATATTAATATTTATTAAAATTGAGTTTTTAAATGTTAATTATTTTAATAAAAAAATCTTTATTTTTTTACATTGTTTTTTCTTTCCGACATGGGCCACAGCGGAGACCATTTTTTTATTTCTTTAAAAATTCAAATAAATAAAATATAGAAATAATTGTTATAGGTTAAAAATTAATAAAAAAAATATTTTATTCCATCTTGTGGATGTTCTAAAAGTTGGTTTTTATGAATGAATGATCGAATAAATCAGAGAAATTGGAAAAACAATTATTTGAAAAAAAAAAAAATTAAATAAAAAAAAATTTTAATTATTTTAAAAATATTTTTTCGGTTTAATAAATATTAATTAAGGTTGGCATATGCCAATTTTTTTGTCATAAAAAAAATTTTGTTTATTTAATGTTTTTTTTTTTTTCAAACACAATAAATTCATAAACATATAAAATATATAAGGTATAAATAAATAGATCAATAATAAATAAATAAATAAATAAATAAATAAATAAATAAATAAATAAATAAATAAATAAAAAGAGTAATAATAATAATAATAATAATAAAAACTAAAATAAATAAACTATAATAATAATAAATGTTATTTTCAAATATAATTTATAATTCAATAATAAGAAAATTAATATTCTTTCTTTATAAAAGAAAATTCAAACTACTACCCATTGAATATGTAAATGAAAGTTATGAGTATTTCAGAAATTTACATTGTGAAACAATAAAGTATTGTCTTGTATCAAAGTATTGGAAACAGCTTGTATCGAAACATTTAACAAATGTATTGGATTTTAAAAATGGAAGTGTATTACTATCGTTTATCGGTGAAGATAAATGGAAATTAATAAAAGAGCATAGTTCATTATTTTTCTACGACTCTATTCAAAGCTACAATGAAGATGAAGGATACAGATTAAAATTTAGGTACAGAAAAATGCTAATAAATTCGTATGGAGATAGCTTTGAAAGTTTTTTAAATTCAAGTCAAAAGTTTCAAAGAGCAGTTTACTTTAATATTATTTTAAAAATTGATATGCTTACCAATCAAACAAAAAGCAAACCATTAGTACCAAAAAAAGTTAAAAGATTAGTAGTTTCGGGTTTCGACACTAGCAACGAAGATCAAAAAAACAAAGCTTTAGAAATTATCAATAGTATTCAACCTAATCAGCTATTCCTTTTTTTTACCAACGAATATAACCAACATTTCATACCATCTCTGGATCTATCAAAATACTTTCTAATACCAAGTTTGAAAAAATTCAATACAAATATGAACTATCTAGAGCCTATTCATCTATTGTCACTAGACAACCGAACAACCAAACTAAAAACACTCCACCTTCGAATGAAATTCAATGAGATGATCAAATTGCTAAATGGCCAACAGGAATATGCAAATAGTTTCACATACCCAGATCACATTCAGCATGATTGGAGTCTAATGATAAAGAAACTCATCGAAAACAATACAATAATCAACTTAATTTTAAATAGCTTTAGCAATAACTACCCAAGTAATGATGAACCTCTATCCCCATTGGACCAAGATTTCAAAACATCATACTTAACTGAAGGTTTCAAATCATTATTTTCTAACCCAAAATGTACCATTAAAACATTACAATTAGTTTCCATTAATTTTATCGATCAATTATTTTTAGATGGTTTAGCTTTAAATACCTCAATTTCAACATTAATCATTTTTAATGATATAGATTATATTTCAATAATAAATCATATATTACCAAAAAATAAAACAATTAGAAATTTAATTTTTGTCGATGTAAAAAATGATAAGTTTTTTATATTTTTACAAATATTAAATAATATTATAAATAATAATAATAATAATAATAATAATAGCAATACACTCGAACTATATTCAATTTCATTTGGTGTTGAAAGTGGTATAGATGAAAATACCTTAGAAAAAGTCATTAATGAAATCAAACTATGTCAATACCCTATCAAAGAATGGAATATTTATATAAATAAGAATATACCAAATCCACAAATATTATTAGAAAATAATACTATAATAAATTTAAAACATCATTTAAAATAATAAAAAAATTTTTTACTATTTTAATTAAAAAAAAAAAAAAAAAAAAAAAACACTTTATTTTTATAAAAAAAAAAAAAAACCCTTTATTTTTATAAAAAAAAAAAAAACCACTTTATTTTTATAAAAAAAAAAAAAACCCAAATTTTTGGGACAACCTTCCCGGCCAACTTGGAACCAATCCTTAATTTTTTTGCCAAAAATAAAAACTTTTGAATCAAATGAAAATTCCAATTAAATTAAGCGAAATTCTAAACATATTTTTGGAAATTTAAAAAAAAAAAATTTTATTTAAAATAATTAAATTTTATTTTTATTTTATTTTTTTTTTATTTTTTTTTATTTTATATATTTAATTTTTTTATTTTTTAAATTTAAAATTTTTTTTTTTTTTTCATTTATTAAATTTTAACACTTTAGAAATTGTATCATTAAAACTATAGAAAATTTAGAAATAATAATAATAATAAAAACCATAAAATATAAATTACAAATATAAAAAATAAATAATGGATCCAGAAAGAGATTTAGATAAAGTTGGCGCTCATTGTGCATTAAAGGATTGTAATAGTTTAGGTAGGTTTCAATAATATGAACAATTATCAATTATTATTAATAATAATAACATAGATACCAGTAGATATAAAATAATAGCAATTGTTAAAACGTAATAATTATGATATTAATATACATATTTATTTTTAGATTTTTTACCAAATGTATGTGAAGGATGTAAAAAACTATTTTGTTTAGATCATGCAAAAGTTCAAGATCATGCATGCCCTACACCACCTGTAAAAATTGGTGGAGTTACAATAACATGTCATTTATGTGACTCTATTTTACCAGTACCAGCAGGTTCATATGAAAACGATGTTTTATCAGCACACACAAAAAAAGGTTGTCCAAAGAAAGCAAGTATAGCACAGCACAAATGTACATTCTGTCCCAAAATGGAAGCTATTAAAATAGTGTGTCCAAACTGCAAAAATAATTTTTGTTTAAAGTAAGTATTATATTTTAATATCTATTTATTATTCATTTAATTAATATTAACCATTTCTATTTATAATATTAGACATAGATTAGAGCGTGATCATAATTGCAAGAAAAGGGTTAACCCTCCTCTTCAACAAACCATTCCTCCTCATTTACAAAATTTATTAAATCAACTTAGAAATTCAAAACCGGTCAAAACAAATTCATAAACTAATATACATAAACACTGTACAATATAGCGCTCTTTTTTTTTTTTATAAATTTAAATATATTTTAATAAACTATTTACCTTATTTTATTTTATTTACACATTTTATTTTATTTAAATAAATATTTTATTTTATTTTATTTTATTTTATAGTTATAGTTACAACTAAAGTTACAGTTAATATTAATATGAAGCATTATTTGAATTGAATGTTATTTTTTTTAATAGGTTATATCCAAAATAACCCGGAATTTTTGAATGCAGAAAAAATTCCTAAAAAACTAAGATTTTTTTGATTTGGTTTTTGTTGAATTTTTCTATTTTGAAATGTAATAAAAATCGAGCTTGGTGTTGAACACTCTGTAACGAAAAGAGAAATGAGAATAAAAATAATTCGTATATAATTAAAAATGAAAGTTGATTAAAAAAAAATAAAAATAAAAAAAAAAAATAAATATTTAAAAATATTTTAACTATTTTACTTTATGCACAAATATCAATTATAAATAGATGATATTTGTTTTTAATTTATCTGGAGCAAAAACATGATGATGTGTTACTTTTTTCTTGACAATAGAGTGGCAACAAACGACATGTTTTTATTTATTTTTTTTTTTTTTTTTTAAAAAAAACCTTTTAAATTTTTTAATTTAATTTAATTTTAACCTTTTTAAAAAATTTTTTTTTTTTTTTTTTTTTTTTTTTTTTTATAATGGGAAAAATAAATAAAATATAATAATAAAAAACTTTTATTTATATACAAATTTATAAATTTACATTTATAGGGTTATTGTAAGTCCCCCATACATAAATTTAATAAATCAAATTAGGGGGTTTATCATAACAAAAAATAGTTTTCTATTTTCTTTTTGAATTTTTCGACCAAATAAAAAAAAAAAAAAAAAAAAATAAAAAAAAAAATAAAAAAAAAAAATAAATAAATTTTATAAAATTAAATAGCTTTGGAACTATATGGTATATTTATATCTTGTTTATTTATTTTTAACATTTACTTTAATAAAAAAAGTTATCAAATAGCTTTTTTTTATCTTTTTCTTTATTATTTCAATTTTTTTTTTTTTTTTCTTTATTTTTATTTTTTTTTATTTTTTTTAATTTTTTTTTTAATTAATTTTATAAAACAAAGAAAACTAATAATTTTTATTTTCTTTTAATATAAATTTATTATAAACAACAATATTATAAATTATAAATAAAAGGTTATATTTATTAAATATTTCTATAAATTCCCTTTATAAAATTACAAGAATAATATTTAAATAGTAATCATTTTTATTATTGTATTAATAACTTTATAATATCTTACACATAAACACATATATATATATATAGCCCGAATAAATTATATAGTTTTTTATATATTTCAAAATCAATAAAATGAATAACAGCGCAATTGACCAATGTGAAATTTTAGATAAGGCTATGAACCATTTCTGGAATTTTAACCTTTCAGGTAAGAGGAGAAGATTAATATTATATATACATGTTATTTTATAAAATATATTAACTTTTTTTTTTTTTTTTTAATTTTTTCTAGAGAGCGAAAATATTTTATTACCACATATTCCAAAATTACCATTATTTTCATTATTATATGCAGATATTGCATTCGTCAAATCAGTATTAACAGAAACTAAAGAGGATTATGAAGAGGCTAGAAACAGAATTAGCCAATGTAAGAAATTATCAAGAGGTCTTCAATTATCACAAAAGCCATTATATATTCAACAAGAAAAAGACGAAAAAAAGACTGGTAGTGGAGCTAATGGTGCAGCAGCAACTCAATCACAAGTTACCAAAGCTGAATATTTAATTTCAAAATTAATTTATGCCGAAACTATGGTTATGAAAGGTGTTATCGAATTTAAAGCACAAAATAACATTAAAGCATGTGTTAATCTTAGAAATAGTTGGAAACAGTATTATCAAGCTTTTGATATCATCAAAGAACTCCCATCAACATTCCCAATTTATAATCATTTAGTTTCATTAGCTTACTATGGTGTTGGTATTTTTCATTTCTTAGTATCTGTAGTTCCACCACAATACATGTGGTTAATCGAGGGTATTGGTTTCAAAGGTAACAGAATGGAGGGCCTTAAAGAAATTAAACAATCTTCTGAATCACCAAATGGAATCAGATCAAATATGTCAAAGGTTACCCTTGTTCTTCTTCATGTTTTCTTTTTTGAAGATTACAAATCTGCTGAACCATTAATCGAATCTCTTACTCAACAATATCCAAATGGTGCATTAATTCATTATCTTAGTGGTGCTATTCTTCGTAAACAGGGTAAAGTTCAACAAAGTACAGTTAGTTATGCTAAAGCTTGCGAAACATCATCACAACTCAAACAATTACAATTATTCATCGAGTCTGAATTGGGTTATAACGAATTTTTAAATCTCAAATGGGATACTGCCGAAACTTATCTTTCCAAATTCTTATCAGAAACTACTTCATCAGGCTTCAAAGCCTTTATTGCTTATCAATTGGCTCTTTGTTACGAAATGCAAGGTAAAAATGATCAAGCTACAGAAACTATGAAAACAATTCCATCATATGTCAGAAAAGGTTTTGATTTCGATGAATTCTCTGGTAGAAAATCTTCAAAATTCTTAAAACAAAAAGGTTATCGTAATCCAGATAAAGCTTATTTAATTGCATCTCTTTTAAATGAAGCTCACCAATTTGAAGAAAGTATTAAGGTTTTAGAAGAATCTTTATCAAAAAATAAATCAGAAATGACAAACGATGATATTGCTTCACATCAATATCTATTGGGTTCAAATTATCAAATGGTTGGTAAAAAAGAAGAAGCTAAAAAATTATATTTGGTAGGTTATACAACATTTATACATTTTAAAATTAACAATTTAAATATTAATTTTTTTTTTATTTTTACTTTTAGAATGCTCTTTCATACGAGAAGTTATTAGCAATTGATTACTTTGTTATTCCATATTCAAATGCTGGCTTAGCAGAAATTAGTTTTGCAGAAAATAAAAAACCAGATTGTAAAAATTATATTAAAAAAGCAAAAGGTTATACTTCAAATCAATATGATTTCCCATCGGTTTTAGATTGGCGTATAAGAAAAGTTGCTCAACAAATTGGCGAATATTAAATATAATAATTTATTTAAAATATGAACACTTTAATAATAATAGTAATAATAATAATAAATAACAACAATAAATAATCGATGTATATTACATCCTGTTTAATAAACTTAAAAATGTTTGTTGATTTTTTTTTTAGATTTTTATGATATGCCAATTTGTGTAAGGATTAAAGATATTTTAAATATCTCTTTAAAATAAAATTTTTTTATTTATTTTTTTATAATAATCAAATTATTATCAATCTTTTTTTTTTTTTTTTTTTTTTTTTTGATAAAAATTAAAATAGTAATAAAATGAGAGTTAAAACTTATATTTTATTATTTTTATTTATAATATTATTAAAAAATTCTGTTGGGTTTATTATTAATGATATTACAACAGATGATCACTATTTTAAAGCAATTGCTGATTCAAATAATAAATGTATCTTTTCATACTATTTTTTGTGTACCCCATCTAATGGGGTAGAGTTATGTAGCTCTTTTAGTATAACAGGCGGTGAAGGAACAATATCAGGTTATCCTATGTCAAATAATGGTAGTTCGTATATGTATAGTGTGGTTATCAATCCATCTATTGGTGTATATAATTATTATTTTCAATCGGATATTGTTTTATCAGTGGAGTGTATAGATTATGATTTAAATTCATTAAATTTAAATTTGGTAGGAGATTATTTTAAAATTCCAACTATATATAGTCATAACGATTTCACTGTAGTTGGATTGTTAGAAGTAACTGGGTTGGGTTCCTCTTATGATCCATTATTAGTTTCAAAAAGAAATTTCCAAATTACTAGTTCAGACATCACTTTAGAAAATATTCCAAATACAAATAAATATTTACTTAAAACAAACTTAAGTATTGGTAAAAATTTATTAGATATAAAAGTTAAAATATCTCGTCTAGGTGTATTTAAAGTGTTTACTTTAAAACCTATTATAAATGGTAATTATAATATATTTTAATTTATAGTTTATAAAATTTTACTAATTTTAATTTTTTAATTAAAAATAATTTTTAGATTTAAATCTTCAATTACTAAGCTATAAAACATACCCAGATCCAAAATACCTGGATAGTATGGGGTTATTCAGTAGACGTGGGGGTGCTGTATTTGAAATCACTTTAAATCAACCACTTTATAATACACAAATCACAACACTAGGAAAAGGGTATCTACCATACCCTAGTTATTTTCCAACTATTGGAGATGAAAATAAAACTACATTTTTAGTAGGTTTGGATCCACAATTCAATGATACTTATGAATTTTTTTATCTTACTAATAAAGAATTTCAACAAATTGGTGATTCATATATTATTAATTATATACGTAGGTTTTAAAATAATTTTAAGTTTACTTTTTTTTTAAATTGTTTATTTATTTTTTTTTAAAACAGCTTTGATAGAAAATGCCCTATATCAAAATCCGTTTCAAAGGCAAGTTATAGGAGAAATCCCAGTTGTTTATTATGGTTTTGAGGATTCCAAATCATATGGTTTCCAGAAATTAGAAATAGGTTTTACAAGTAATATAATTATTTTTGAACATTATTGCAAGTTTCCCTACGGATTTACATACGGTTCAAAAGAAAGCTACAAAATAGAATTTCAATCCCTTTTGAAAGAGTCCTTTATATATAGCGATCAAAGAATCATGATTCGATATGATAGTTCACAGAATTTTATTTTTAATAACCAAAGTAAAACAATATTAGTTATTTTACACATTATTATATGATTATTAATTAACTTTTTTTTTTAAAAAAGATTCCACATTTATTTATGATCCATCTTTATCACCTGTAATAACCAATTTAGAAATTATTAAAGTGGAAAAAGAAAAATATATATTTAGATTATACATAGATTCTTCATATGGTTTGTCTTTTATTGAAGATGCTAACTACGGGCTTTATTATGCAAATGATGTATTGGTCAGCGGAAATATTTATATAGGGGTTTATGAAATTTTAGTTACTCAATCTCTTAGCTTTTCAATTAAATTTTTTGATATTTACCAAGGAAGTGCTTGGTTATATTCCCCAACAAATAATTTCAAAGGATACCCAATTAATATATATAGAGAAACTCAAATAAACAATTGTAAGTTTTAAAATATATTATAAAATTTATATTTTATAAAAATATTGTATTAATTTAGTTTAATTTATAGTCAGTATTTATTCAATTCAAAATGTATCATTTTTATATAATAGTATTGATATTACTAATTTTAGACACTATAATGTTATTTATTTTAACTTTTCAAAAGATTTTCCAAGGGATGTTTCAATTACAATGGCTGTTATGGATGCAACCTATTTTAAGGGTTTTACACCCAGTAGATATTTTCATTCGACATGGAACCAGAGTATTTCTTTATTTCAAATTGAGTTTTATGTAGAAGCAAACACTCAAGTAGGAGAGTTCATGTTTTCATTAACTTGTTTAAATATTGGCACTATCTACGGTTCATCTCTTAATTCAAAATTAATTATTAAAAAATCAAGTAAGTATATAAATAATATTTCATTATATAAAATTATTCTTAAATTAAAAATTATTATAAATTTATAATATAGAAATGGATTTACAAGGCCCAGTATTTAAAGAAATTAAAAAGATAAATATTCAAATGTTAGATAAAAATAATAAATTGGGTGAATTTGGGTGGTCGATGGTCATTGAAGACCCAGTTAACGGATTTAATTTAGGTTATGTTATTGTAAGAGGTGAATTTGACCAGTCTATATATAATATATCAGTTTCATCCGATAATATTAAAACTGGTAATATATACTTGGGAGAGTACGATTTCAAATTTAAAGTATCTTATCCATGTATTACACAAAAATATATTATTACCGAAGTATATCTATTGGATAAAATTAACAGAGTTTCATTTTTTGAATTGTCCTCAATCACCCAATTTTCAGAAATAAATCCATTTTTATATTTTTTAAATGATACTGATATTAATAAAATCCAGGTTATATGTTCAAATGAAATTAATTCTGCTTCAAGCGATTTAGACCCACCAATTTTAAAAAATTTTATCCCCTCAGCAAAAATTGTTGATGTTGGTTCCAACAATAGAAATATAAGCTTTTTATTATCTTCAGAAGACCCTCAAAGTGGTATAAAAATATATGCACAGAATCCAATTATATATCTTACTTCGACAAATAATAGAGTACTTGAATGTTTAGCAGAATTTTGGTCTAGTACAGATTTTGAGGCTTATTATACATGCAGTGTTGAACTTCCTTTTGGTTTTGGATACCCTGATGGAATCATTTTATCAGTATATGGGTTTATTAATAACAATGGTTATTATTCAGGATTCACATATGACGATTTATTAGGGGCACAAAAAATAGCATTCATTGAAACAACTTTTGGAATAAACAAAGCAATAATAAAAGATTATTATGAAATTTCAGAAAGAGGTGGTGATTTGATTCTATTTGGAGGAGGTTTCGACGAATCATCAAAATCAATTATTACTTTTTTCGATAATACAACAGAACAAATAGATTGTCAGTTTATTACATCATCAGCTATAAGAGCTCCAAATGTAAAAGCAACAGATAAACCATATAGAGTATATGTAAAAACATTACTGTATGAATCAAATTCAATTATTGTTACTCCAGTAATTTATGGTTTTAATCAAAGACCATCAGTTACACCACCTCCGGATTCAGTACCTCCTTTACCAACAAATAAACCACAGATCTGCATTGGTAGTCCACAGTGCGGGGGTCCAACACATGGTAGATGCATCGATAATCAAGGTTGTGTATGTTTTAAACCATGGGTAGGAAAAGATTGTTTATCCCAAGTAGTTATTGTAGATCCACCAAAAATTAATGAAACCAATCCATCTACTGAAATTATTGTACCAGATGATAAAAATGCAGTTCCAATTACATATAGATCTTTGATTTCTTTAGTTGCTTTAAGAGAAATCGATATTTTTGGTAAAGAAGTATATCACAAAACTTTTGATAGTTGGATAGCGAGACAGTTGGACAACTCTACATTTGTTTACAATTTATCTTTGGACATAAAAAAGGAGAAAAGCAGTGGGGTTGCACGTATCAAGGTTACATTGAGGTGGTTTATAAATGAATCAAATATTAGTTTTGCAGATCAAGATTTGGTAATGAGTCCATCATCTATGAAATATACAATCGAGATTTCAAACTATCCATTTGACAATCAAATCAACAGCCTGCAGTTAATATTTTCAGCATCAATACAATCAAACACGTCGAAAGAAATTTGCTCATCTAGAGAATTCGGGGAAACTACAGCAGGAGATAATTCGGAGTATATAAAGGTACAGGTAGAAAATCATTCACTATACGGCAGGTTTATTAGAAGAGGTATTGTCGATTCAAATATTATTTCTATATCAAACATACTACTAGATAAAGATATGAATCCAATAACCGAAACCAAATCGCTTCAATCTTATGTCGGTATTCAAATTCCAAATTTCAAATCAATTGCAATTATTGATCCTGATTTTTCAGTTTTGATAGATTCAAAATCAGCATCTTCGATCTGTTCATCAAGTTCTAAATTAAATAGATCTAAATTAGCAGGTATCATAATTGGCACCATTGCATTCATTTTAGTTGTTGTTGTATCTATTATATACTTTTTCATAAAAAGAAAATCAACAAGAGAATTTGAATTGAAATTAAAAAGTAGAATGAAAAAATTAGAAAAATTATAAAGATAATAAAAAATAGGAATCTAAATAAAGTGTATTTTTTATATAAAAAAGAAAATTTATTATTTTTTATTATTTATTTTATATTATTTATTTTTTATAAATATTAGACAGTAATATTCAAAAGCATTAAAACAAGTTGGATTATTTTTATTTAAATTATTATTTTTAAATTGATTATTGAATTATTTTCTAAAAGTATTTGTTTTTTATAATTAAAGCAATTATATGTATATATATTATATTGTTTAATTGGCAGATTATAGAGTTTTATTTCACTAACAGCTTTATCTAGACTTTGTGAACTTAAATCACCTTGAAAATAAACTGAAATTGAGTATAATTCTATATTATTTATATTATTTATATTATTTTTATTATTAATATTGAAAAGTTCAATTAAAATTTTAAAAAAGACTTCCTCCTCTATCATATAAAAATTTAGATTTGTTATTGTTTTATTAACTGGAAATATATTTCTTAAAAATGGTATATATTCTTTATAACGACAAAATGTTATTGATGATATTGTTGTATTTAAAGCTAAACCCTCAAAAAATAATTTATCAGTGATAGATCTGTCGATTGAATAAAGTTCTAAAGTTTGGATAGAGCATTTTTGATTTGAAAGAAGTTGCTTCAGACCTTTGGTTATACATGTTGATGAAAGAGTTTCGTCCCAAGCGTCTTTTTCTGAGGTTTTATTGCCACCTAAAGTTAGTTTTTTTATTGTTCGGTTGCTGTGCAATATGCTTATCATTTGGTCCCAATCTCTTTGAATATTATCTGGGTTTATAAAATGTTTGCTGTATTTGGTTTTACCATTTAGTAGCTTTATTACTCTATCAAAATCCATTGAGAGATGTAGCTCTTTTAATTTAGTATTTTGATTATTAAGTGATAGTAAATGAAATGGCTCCATAACTGGTAGACCTATTCTAAACCTCTTTAAATGTGGGCATGATATGATATTTGATAAATTTTTTACTAATTGATATGGTATTGATGGTTTCCAGATAGCTAAACCCTCTTCATTAAATGAGTCATAGTTTATGAAGATGTTTTTTGGTTTTAAAATCCCAATGATTTCAATTGTTTGGTCTATTTGATGTTTGTTACAACCGCTATAATGTGATATAGTTAAATTATTTACATTTCTTGGTAGTATAGGTTGGCTGTTTTCATCTTCCTCTAAAATTTTATTTACTGCAATGTGGGTTTCAAAATTGACATTATTAGGATACTCTACTCTTGAATATAGTATTTTATTGAACCCATCATAATTGAAAATAGGAATTAATATTTTTTTGTATTCGAATTCTGTTTTTTTTGAATCTTTTACATAACTTGCCATGGATGTATAGATTTTAACTGATCTGTGACGATTCACTAACTTCATAAATGGTGAAATAAAATTGATGTTTTGAAAATCGAGTGCATTCGTAAGGTGCATAACTACATATTCTTTCCATTTTTTTGAAACCAAACAGTAGTTGATTATTTCAAAATGTGTGCTTTCGAATGAACCAAATTGACTTAATGGGTTAATCATTAGAAATGGATATTTGTTGGTCTGTTTATATAAAAAATATATAATATCTTTAATTATTGTGCTATATATATAGTTATTAATATTCATTATGTAAATTGTAGGAAATTATTTTATTATTGTTGTGTTTATAAAAAAAAAACTGATAAAAAAATTTAAAAAAATAAAAAATTTTCGAAAATAAATTTTTTGTTGGGTGATATTTTTTTTTAAGTTTTTGTGAACAGGAATTGGTTTTCTTATTTTTCCCCAGGACTTTTTAATAAAGAATTCAATAAAAATGTAATTCCTCCAAGTGTAACATCAAATTATATGGGTTATTGGTTTAATAAACCATTAAAAAACCAAAAGAATTGGAAAAATTAATATTTGGTAGTATTTAAGAGTTATTTTAAGGCTCAATACCATCAAGTGCCACCTCTAACATTCAGTGGTAAATCTAGATATAACCATCAGTTTAAAGTGTTCGATATGCCAAACAAAGTTAAAGATTTAACTCTTCACAACAATGATAAAGAAATCACACCCAAGTATAATTCCTCAATCAATAAGAACACTTCATATGGTTTACTATTATGATTCTCCATTGGTACCATTCCTGATATAGTTACTCAACTTGTACTATCAAAAAAACTTTCGTCAGCCTCTCAAAAAAGGAATGATACCCAGTGTAACTCTTTTAGTATTTGGCCAGCTCTTTGATTAAGATATAGCCGTAGTGCAATTCCACTGTTAGTTAAAACTACTATACTATCACAATTCTTTAATAAATCACTCTCTATTGGTGTTCTATCTTGAAAACTTGGAAACCTTGTTTTGGTGAATTGAATGGTTTAATACAATATTTTCCATAAGTTTTTGGCTGGGTCTCTAAAAATTTTTTTTTTTAATATATCTTTTATATTTTTTTTTTTTATATTATAAAATTGGTTCATAAATATAAAAAAGATAAATGTTTTTAAGATTTATTAAATAAAAAAATTGTATTTGTTTTTTTTAAATTTTTTTTAAATTTTTTTTTTTTAATGATAGGTTAAATATTTTCATTTTTTAGTTTTTTAAAAAATAATTTTTTATTTTTGGTATTTTGATTAAAAACTTTTAATATTTTGTGGAACCACCTCTATTTTCCATTATTTGTTCAATTCTTTTTGGAATTGATTGATATTAATTATCAATAACTTCTCCTTCAATTCCACACCATATTTCATCAATTAATTCTTTAAAATCTACATAGAATAGTTTATGTAAAATAATAATAATAATAATAATAAATTTAAAAAAAAAAAAAAAAAATTTAAAAAAAAAAAAAAAAAAAAAAAAATAATCGAGATAATCGGGATTAAAGAATTGATGAATACACTTTAAATATTTAAAAATATTATTTTAAAATTTTTAAAATAGTTTTTTTAATTATTTATTTTTTTTCTAAAGAAACCAGAGTTGCTGGGGTTTGATGATGATGATGTTGATGATGACTTTTCTTTTAATTGAACCAAAAGTGGTGGTTTACCGTTCTTCTTTTTCTTTTCACCCTTAATTGTATTTTCACTATTGAGATTAATGAATATAACAACAACAAAAAATGGAAATGATATTATCTCACACAAATTCTTCAACAATCTAACAAGAGTAGATTTCATACAAAGCGAAATACCATCAATCAAAGAGACCCTATCAAAGCAACGATTAAAAATTCGAATCTTCCAGAAGATATATACATCAAAAAAGAAAAATATTCAGAGCGGGAATCGAACCCACGACCTAATCCGTGTTAAGGATTCGTGATAACCAACTACACCATCCGAACATTGTTATTGAAAGTTAGAATCAAGACCCCATAAGGTTTGAATTTATAAAGTAGTTCAAATTAATAGAATAAATTAAGAAATTTCCCTTTTGCTCAGTTGGCCACCTCACGCCTTAGTTATGCACACTATTACAAAAGTTGAATAAAACTATTTTGTATTTTTTAAAAAGGATCAAACCATTAAACAACTCATCTGTCAAACTAAAGGAGATATACAGAGACTTGATGTATATAAAACAAAAACCAGTGGAACGAAATTCACCACACTGCTACCCAAAGTATATTAGCACAAAAAATCAAACAAGAATTACTGTTTGCCCCAGCCAGAAAGCTTATACCAGTAAAGGGGAGAAAACTACTCTGGAGATACTTGCTGAAAGCATTGCCAAAAATTTTCGAATCACAATACCCGTTATGCCCAGACAAAGAATCATCAGAACATATATTATTCAAGTGTCCATCGGTCAATAAACCGGTACAAGAAATAATAAATATCAAATTTCAAAAGAAGCTCGGTACGATCCTGTAGTGTTAGACACTCACATATTAATTAATAAAAATATATATATAGATATATTTGGGTTTTTTAGCCTATAAAGGTTTTCCCATAAAAAGTAATACGATAGCTTCTTGCAAAGTGTTTCATAAAAATTTCTTTTAAAACGAAATTTTTATTTTAATTTTTTTTAATTTTTTTTCAAAAATAATTCGCCAAAATAAAAGGCACAAAAATTAATAAAAAAAGATCATTATTGATGAAAATAGTTTTATCAAAAAAAGCGTTTTAAAAGGTATTTTATTATTTTTTATTTGTTTGTTTGTTTTGGTTGTTTATATGTTTTCCAGATAGAATATTACCCACTCTTTTACATGTAGTATGTGACGAACACCTATTTACCAAACTGGATAAACCATTCCTAGCAAATTTAATAGCATCAATTTTCGAACAAATATGGTACAGAAGAACAAGAAAAATCATGAACATTTCACCTACGAATTAACATATGAAAGAGTACTCATGAGATTCAAGTTAATCTGGGCAGCAGCATGGGAAAGAGAAGTCAAAAATATAAACAGAATATATAATAAACTTCAACATCAAGATCCAGCTAGTCGGCGACACCACACAATGAAGATAGTCAACAGGCTAGAGAAGTTTAGCAAGATATGGAATTCAGATATATTTAGAGTGAAAATACCTATACACCTGTAAAGCTACAGAACTTTATGGATGAATTACAAATAAAAATTAAATAACAAAAATTAATATTGAAAAGTTCAATTAAAATTTGAAAAAAGACCTCCTCTATCTTATAAAAATTTAGATTTGTTATTGTTTTATTAACTGGGAATATATTTCAAAAATGGTAAATTCTTTTTATTGATAAAATGTTATTTATGTATTTAAAATTAAACCCTCAAAAAATAATAAATCTGTCCATTTAATATAGTTCTAAATTTTGGATAATAAATAATAATTTTTTTAAAATTTTATTATTTTTTAAAATAGGGGTAGGCAATTATTAATGGATCGGCTTTTTTATGTTATTTTTTAAAATATTCAGCCCAAAAATTGAATTGATAACAATTTTATTTATCAGTTTATAAACTAATATATTATTTAAAAAAAATTAAAATTTGTAAACCTTTTTTAAACCTTTTTTAAACCTTTTTTAAACCTTTTTTAAACCTTTTTTAAACCTTTTTTAAACCTTTTTTAAACCTTTTTTAAACCTTTTTTAAAAAACATTTTAACCCCCTTTTTTTTAAAATTTTTTTTTAAATTGTATATTTATTTTTTTATTTCACATTTATTTATATTTTAGATTCATAAAAATGTTTCCCGGTTTAATTGGAAAACAAATAGATAGTGCTTTAAAAAATCAAAATTTAAAAGAAGAAAAGGAAAGAAAAGAATATGAACTATTAAAAGGACAAACCATTGTATCTGATGAAGAGTACAATAGTAATGTAAAGAGATTAGAAGAATTAAAAAAGAGACGTGAAGAAATTTTAAAAAAACCATCATATGGTGCTTGGGCTGCAGTTTTAAACTCAACAGCACCAATCGATAATGAAATTAAAGAGGTTCAAGATAAAATTTTTAAATCAACACCTAAATCCAAAGAGCATTTAGTTCAAAAACCAATTAATGAAAACTACTATAATGATGTCAATGAATTAAAACGTTTGGAAGAAAAAAAGAAAGAACTGGTTAAGCCAGAGACAAATTATTTTTTACCAGTTATTATTGGTAATGCGGGTTCTACTTTAATTGATGATGATATCAAAGCTGTTAAAGAAAGAATAGAAAGAACAAGACCTCCACCATTTCAGTTAGAGAAACAAGAAATTGAAAAATTGAATCAAGAACTCAAAACTTTAAAAGATAATAAGGCATATTTAGAAAAAGAACTTACTATGACCTTTAGAGAAGATCAACAGGATAAAATCGAAGATCAAATTGAACTTATAAATAAAAAAATTACACAAAAAGAATCAAGACTTAATGAAGTTTCAAAAACTTTAAAACCAAAAGAAGAACAAAGTTTAAATTTGGAAAAAGTTGGTAAAACAAGTGGTCGTTTTGTAGATCAAGCTATTCCAACTTTATTGGGTACCAAAATAGATCAAAATAGTAAACCCCAAATATTTGAAATAATGGGTAAAGGGAGTGGCAAATTGGCAGATAAGGGTGTCTCTGTGGTTGGAAAAGCAATAGGTATTACCCCAAAAAGTTCACAAAATAATGAAGATTACAATCCGCATAAAATGTACTTGAGTGAAGATGATACCAAGCAATCTATCCAAGTTGAACCAGAAAAGAAATTAAATATTACTGAAAATGATAACAATCCAATTGTTGATAAAAATAATGAAAATAACCAACAAAACGAAGTCCCAGCAAATGGTAAGTTGTAATTTTATATATAAATTATTTTCTTTTAATTAAACTTTTTTTTTTTTTTAGAAAAAAAACATATAGAAAATAATCTTTTAGATCAATATAATGAAAATCTGGAACAAAATGAAAATGACAACTATGAAAGTCAAGGTGAACAACAAAAAGAATTTGAAAGTGGTCAAAATGAAAGTAATTATAATGATAAAAAAAAAGATTATGATCAAGATGGTAATAATGGTGATCAAAATCAACAACAACAAGACGATTATGATGAAGCTAATGATTTAAATGAAAACAATGGTGGTCAATATCAACAACAACAAGACGATTATGATGAAACTAATAATAATGGGTATCAAAATGAACAACTACAAAACGATGATATTGAAGGTGGTCAAAATGAAGAACAGAATAACTTTGATGTTGGTAATAATGATGATGGTAAAGATGAACAAAATGAATTTGATGAAGGTGATAATGTAAATAATCAACATGAACAATTACAAAATAACAATGATGATGATCAAGATGGTGATAATGATTCTCAATATCAACAACATGACAATGACGATGAAGATGATAATAATGGTGATCAAGATCAACAACAACAAGACAATTATGATGAAGCGAATAATAATGGGTATCAAGATGAACAACCACAAAATGATGATATTGAAGGTGGTCAAAATGAAGAACAGAATAACTTTGATGTTGGTAATAATGATGATGGTCAAGATGAACAAAATGAATATGATGAAGGTGATAATGTAAATAATCAAGATGAACAACAAAATGACTATTATGAAGGTAATAATGGTGAAGATGAACAACAACAAAATAGCTATGATGAAGGTGGTAATGATGGTGAACAAGATGAACAACAAAATGACTATGACGAAGGTAATAATGGCCAGGATGAAAAAAATGAATTTGATGAAGGAGAAGATGGTCTGGATGAACAATCACAAAACAATAATGATGATGATCAAGATGGTAATAATGATTCTCAATATCAACAACATGACAATGACTATGAAGATGATAATAATGGTGATCAAAATCAACAACAACAAGACGATTATGATGAAGCGGATAATAATGGGTATCAAGACGAACAACTGCAAAATGATGATATTGAAGGTGGTCAAAATGAAGAACAAAACGAATTTGATGTTGGTGAAAATGATGGTGGTCAAAATGAAGAACAAAACGAATTTGATGTTGGTGAAAATGATGGTGGTCAATATGAAGAACAAAACGAATTTGAAGGTGATAATGACGAACAACAAGAAGACGAAGGTAATAATAATGGTCAAGATGAACAACTACAAAATGACAATATTAAAGGTGATTATGAAGATGGTCAAGATGAACAAAATGAATTTGATGAAGGTAATAATGTAAATAATCAAGATGAACAACAACAAAATGACTATGATGAAGGTAATAATGGTGAAAATGAACAACAACAAAATGAATATGATGAAGATGGTAATGATGGTGAACAAGATGAACAACAAAATGACTATGACGAAGGTAATAATGGCCAAGATGAACAAAACGAATTTGATAATGTAAATAATCAAGATGAACAACCACAAAATGACTATTATGAAGGTAATAATGGTGAAGATGAACAACAACAAAATAGCTATGATGAAGGTGGTAATGATGGTGGTCAAGATGAACAACAAAATGACAATGAAGGGGATTATGGAGGTGATCAGAATGAACAACAACAACAACAAGATGACTATGATGAAGGTGATAATAACGGTGGTCAAGATGAACAACAAAATAACAATGAAGGTGATTATGGAAGTAGTCAAGAAGATTATGGAAATAATAATAATGATGAAGATTAGAACAAATTTTAAACCTAAATCGGAATAAATTTCCTTATTTTTTAATTAAAACTATTTAAATAAAATATTTATAAATTACAATATTTCAAAAATCTCTAATATCTATTTTATCAAACTAATAGAATAAATTTTTAAAGAATGATGAAATTTGCTGTTATTGATTTATTATTATTATTTATTTATTTATTTATTTATTTATTTATTTATTTATTTATTTATTTATTTATTTATTTATTTATTTATTTATTTATTATTATTGGTTAAAATATCAGATAAACCAGTGTCGTATGATAATTCGTAATATGAAATTGAAGAATCGTCATCAATGATACCTAAAGTAAATGATTTGCAATCTATGGGAATATTATTATTTAAATTATTATTATCATCATTATTATTTAAATTGTAAAAAGTTTCTTTTAAATTTTCTAAACTCCAAATCGATGTAGATTTACACGGTATTACTATATTATAATTCTAATAAAATTATTAGTAAAAAAAAAATTTTGTTTTTTTTTTTTTTATAATTAAATACATTTAAATTTTCCAATTTTTCGATTGCATATATAAAAATTAAATCTTTATTGTTTTTAAATTCGACAGATTCCCATTTTTTTAAAATGAATAAATCAATGTAGATTTGAAATGCTAAATGAATTTGGTCTAACCTGAACTTATTTGAATACTTTGATTGTAGATCATTTAATATTTTATCTAGATCTGTATTTTCTGACATTTGTTATAGCTATTCGAATAATAATAAATGAGTTTAACTATTATAGTGATGGGGTGACGTGTATGTAAACAATTATTAAAAAAAATAAAAAATAAAAAATAAAAAAAAAAAAAAAAAAATGAAAAATAATTGTTTTTTTATTTTTTTTTTTTTTTAAAAAATTTTTATTTTTTTTTTAAATTTTTTTTTTTTTTAATTTCATCATTATTAATATAAAAATAAACACAATTATTAATATAAAAATAAATATTTTTTTTTTTTCTTTATAAAGTAATAATAATAACAATTATAACTGTAATAATAAAAAGAAAAAATATAAAAAATATATTATAATGTATTTTAAAAAATTTAATTTAAAATCAGTATTGTTAATATTGGTTTTAATAAGTTTAATTATTATACCAATTTTATCAGTTGATTCAAGTAAATTCAAAACTTGCCAAGAATCACATTTTTGTAAGAGACAAAGACAAACACATGAAGGTGAAATCAATCCAATGAAATCATTTCAAACCTTTAATGTCATTAGAGATACTGTCAAATTAAATCAAAATGATAAAACAATAACTTTTGACCTTCAAGAAAAGACAGCTAAAGACAATGTATTAACTATGAAGCTCGAACTTTACGAAAATGGAATTGTTCGTATGAGAGCACAAGAGAAATCACCATTAGCAAACAAGAAGCGTTATCATGTCAATGACGTTTTATTAGATAGCATCAAAACACAATCAATCAAATGGAAGGAAGAACCAAAATCATCCTCAAATCACTTTTCTTTTATTCATGGTGAAAAACAATGCTGTTATGTTCAAGTACAATTAGAACCATTCAAGTTAGATGTTTACATTATGGGTGAATTAGCAATTACAACAAATAAAGATGGTCTTTTCCACTTTGAACCAATCCAAGAGAAACCAACTATTGCAGGTCCAGAGAATAAAGAAGGCAACACTGAAGAAAATAACAATAATAATAACAACAATAACAACGTAGCACACGAAGGTTATTGGGAAGAAAGATTCCAATCTCATCAAGATTCTAAACCAAATGGTCCAATGTCAATTGGTATGGATTTCACTTTTGTAGGTTCATCTCATGTTTATGGTATCCCAGAACACAGTACCCGTCTCTCATTAAAATCAACTACTGGTAATGGTATTAAAGAAAACCCATATCGTCTTTACAATTTAGATGTTTTTGAATATGAAATCGATAAAACTATGGCCCTCTATGGTTCAGTTCCATTAATGATTTCCCACGACACCAAAAAGACTACCGCTATTTTCTGGTTAAATGCTGCTGAAACTTTTGTTGATATCGAAGATGTTGAAGGTCCATCAAAGAAAACTCATTGGATTAGTGAAACTGGTATTTTAGATGTTTTCTATTTAACTGGTCCAACTCCATCATCAATCTTTAAACAATATGCCTATTTAACTGGAACCACCCAATTACCACAAATGTTTTCTTTAGGTTATCACCAATGTAAATGGAATTATAAAGTAAGTTTAAATTTAAAACACCCTTTAACAATAATATTTATAATAAAAGATTTAAATATTAATTGTTTTCATTATTATTTTAGTCAGAAGATCACGTTAAAGAAATTGATGCAGGATTTGATAAACATCAAATCCCATATGATGTTATTTGGTTAGATATCGAACATACAGATGGTAAAAGATATTTCACATGGGATAACAATAATTTCCCAACCCCAGAAGAAATGTTAAAAGCCATTGCAGTTAAAAATAGAAAGATGGTTAATATTGTAGATCCACATATCAAGAGAGATAACGGTTATTATATTCATTCAGAGGCTCAATCTAAAGGTTACTATATTAAAAACAAGGATGGTAATGACTATGATGGTTGGTGTTGGCCAGGCAGCAGTAGTTATTTAGATTTCACCAATCCAGAAATTCGTGATTGGTGGGCAAGCCAATTCGCATATGATAAATATAAAGGCTCAGCTCCAAATCTTTACATTTGGAATGATATGAACGAACCATCAGTTTTCAATGGTCCAGAAGTTTCTATGCATAAAGATGCTAAACATTGGGGTGACTATGAACATAGAGATCTCCACAATCTTTATGGTTTCTATTATCATATGGCCTCAGCTGATGGTTTAATAAAGAGAAATCCAGATCAAAACGACCGTCCATTCGTTTTATCCCGTGCTTTCTTTGCCGGTTCACAAAGAATTGGTGCCATTTGGACTGGTGACAATGCTGCAGAATGGAGCCATCTCGATATTGCTAATCCAATGTTACTTTCACTCAATATTGCTGGTATCACTTTTAGTGGTGCTGATGTCGGTGGTTTCTTTGGTAACCCAGATGCAGAACTTTTAGCTCGTTGGTACCAAGCTGGTGCTTTCCAACCATTCTTTAGAGGTCATGCCCATTTAGACTCACGTCATCGTGAACCATGGTTATTTGATGAACCATACTCAAGCGTTATGAAGGATGCCATCATTACACGTTACACCTATCTCCCATTATGGTACACCACATTCTTTGAAAATACAATTAATGGTTCACCAGTTATTAACCCATTATGGGTTCAATATCCAAAAGAACAAGAACTCTTTGATATTGACGACACCATTATTATCAGTAACTCACTTTTAGTAAAACCAGTCACAAAACAAGGCGCCAAATCAATGAAAGTTATCTTACCAGGTAAAAGTGTTAACGAGATTTGGTATGACGTCGATACCGAGAAACCAATTGAAGCTGGCACATATGAAATAGATACTCCTCTTGAAAAAATCCCAGTATATCAACGTGGTGGTTCAATTATTCCAAAGAAAGAAAGAGTTCGTAGAAGTAGTGCTCAAATGAAAGATGATCCATTTACCATTCGTATTGCTTTAGATAAAAATCAATTTGCTCAAGGTCAATTATACATTGATGATGAACACTCTTTCGATTATAAAAAAGGAAATTATCTTTACAAACAATTTACCTTCAAAGACAACACCCTTATTTTCAATACTCATCCAGAATCCAAACAAAATGGTAAATTCACATCACCATCAACTATTGAAAAAATTATTATCCTTGGCTACAAACAAAAACCAACTTCAATCGTCTCTGAAGATGGTAAACAATTATCTTTTGATTATGATCAATCATTATCTAAACTTACTATTAGAAAACCAGATTTTTCAGTAAACTCAAATTTTATTTTAAAATTTAATTAAAGAATAATATAATATAATATAGCAATAATATAAAAATAAATAAATTTTTATTTTTAAAATAATAAAAAAGAAAAAAGAAAGAAAATAAAGATTTGTATTTTTTTAAAATATTTTTTATTTATAACATTTTTTTTTATAGTTTAATATTAAAATTTGAATGATTAAAAAGATAAAATAAAAAAAAATTAAGAGGAATTTAAATGATGGGGCTATATACAATTGATCTCTTTTATTTTTTTTTTAATCACCATTTTAATTTTAATTGTTGTTTTTGTTTTTTAGTCTGTTTGGTTGGTAGTTTGTTTGTTTGTTGATTTATTATTTTCTAATTGATATTATTATTGTTTATTATTATTATTATAATTATTAACTTTGTACATTTTTTGGTGAAACATATTAATTCGTAACTATAAAGCTATAATAAACCTCGTAAAAAAGATTGTGGAAGTTTATTTGGTTTCGTTTTTGGTTTTTTTTTTTTTTTTTTTGTGTTTTTTTTTTTTTTTGAAGTTTTCTGTAATTAAATAGTTTTCTTAATATTTAATGATTTTTATTATAAGTTATTAAGATTATTATTATTTTTATTGTTATTATTATTATTATTATTATTTATTAACTTCTATTTGCAAATAAATTATTTTGGTTATGATATGAACCACTGGTGTTTACAGCTGTGCTCATATTATTACCATTGCTATTATTATTACTATTTATATTATTACTATTTGTATTATTGTTGTTATTATTATTATTATTTATATCCATTCCATCTATATCAATTGGTTCGTTACTACTTCCTGGACCAGAATTTTGTAATTGTTGTTTTAATTCTTCCTCTCTAAGATCTTTTTCGTGCTTAATATATACTTCTGATTGAGAATATATAGAGTCTACCCAGCCACTAATGGTTGATGATGTCCAGAATTTACCTAAATTTAAGTTTGGTAATGATACCGGTCTAAGTGGTGTGCTGATTGAAGTACTATTCATTTCCTATATATTTCGTTAATATTTTTTGATGTCTGTTGCAATTCTGCTACTTTTTTTTGTGGTGTTGCTATATGGTTTTATAGTTATAGGGCGTTGTTATTATTCCTCTGTAACTTTATAGTTGATATAAAGGACCAATATGAAAATATGAAAAAAGGATAATTTATTTATAAAAAAAAATTTATTTAATGGCTAAATGCACAAATATTTATTATATTGCTGTATTTTATAAAATATAATAAATAGTATTTTAAATAAATATATGTAAATAGTTTATTATCTAAAATTGTATTTTTATAAATAAATAAAAAAAAAAATTAAAAAAATTAAAAAAAAAAAAAAAAAAAAAAAAATGAAAATTTAAAAAAAATTATTTTTTTTAAATATTTTTTATTATTTTTTAAATATTTTTTCCTTTTTTTTATATTATTAATTTTAAAGAGAGAGTGTTTTTTGGTGTGTGTTTGTTTATGTGTGTGTAAATATTTTTGTTTGCTATTTATTGTTTATTGTATAAATTATATTTGCTATTTATCATTTAAATTATTTATAAATAACAAATTTTCTTTTTTAAATTAATTTAAACTATAATAATAGTTTAAACAATTTTGAAATCGAAATAATGTTATTTACAAATAGTTTTTTTTATTTTTTTTTTTTTTTATATTTATTTTTACATTTTTTTCACATTTTTTTTGTTTATTAATATTTAATTTTTTTTAGAAATATTTTATTTTTTTAAAGTAATAAAACTATAGATTTTGGGAAATATGGCAGAAAAGTAATCAAACCATTTTATTTTGAAAAAATATGACAAATCTTGAGGGTTCGGATAAATAAAAAAAGATTAAACAAAAATATTTAAATTAATTAAATAAAATGGTGTTACTATCATAACTTTTTAATTTATAATTAAAAAAAAATTAGAAGAATAATATTAAAATTTTACATTTTACAAATTTATTGGAAGATTTTGAGAGAAAAAAAAAATTGTGTTTTATTAATCTTTATATTTTATTTAACAATGGTGATGACGACCATGGCAATGACTGTTGCTACCATATGAGACTACATATGAGCCAGCTGGATATTGTTGGAAATATTGTGGATATACATAACCTGATTGTTGCTGAACGTATGGATATTGTTGATATGCAACTTGTTGTTGTTGTTGTGGATAAGCATAGCCTGGTTGTTGAACTTGTTGTGGATAAACATAACCTTGTTGTTGTACTGGTTGTAATGGTTGTAATGGGGTTGTTGGTTTTGGTTGCTGTGATTGTGGGTTAACTGGTAATGGGCTTTGAAGTAATGCTGCAATGTTTGGTGGTAATGTCCAGTAGGTTTGTTTGGTGTTATGATCGCAATAATATTTTTTACCTGTTGGATCCTCTCTTATAACCCATCCTTCTGGTAATCTTGGGTCTTTATATTCTAAACCTTGATATTTACTTGATTGTTGTTGTTGTTGTGATGGTTGAACGTTATTTACAGTTGGTACGCTTGGTGGTGCTTGTGGTTGTGGTTGATATGAAGTTTGTTGTGGTGTTTGTGGTGCGTATGGAGTTTGTTGTGGGGTTTGTTGTGGGATTTGTTGTGATGCTGGTGGTGCATATGGGGTTTGTTGTGGAGTTTGTTGTGGGATTTGTTGTGGAATTTGTTGTGGTGCATATGGAGTTTGTTGTGGGGTTTGTTGTGGAATTTGTTGTGGGATTTGTTGGGAGGTTTTTTGTGGGATTTGTTGTTGTTGTACAGTTGGTAAAGTTTGTTGTTGTTGTGGGATGCTAATTTGGGTACCATTTAAAGATTGGATACCAGTTTCAGTATGAACAGCATCTTGCATTTGGATATATTCAGAAACATTATCAAAATAAATCTCACCTTCCATTATACCAACAACTTGATTTTGATGAATGATTGGTTCTACAAATTGAATTTTCTTTTGGTCAACGCCTCCATAAGCTGGGCCAGTAATATGAGATGGATCAAATACTATATTGCTTAATGTAATTGTAATTTGACCTAATGATGGATCAGTTTCACCATTATATGTTTTATATTGTAATACATTAAAAACTATTGGAGATACTAATAAATCTTTTAAGCTTGTTGTAAAAATAATTTGATCTAATGATGTATCTTGCCAAAATAAATCAGTTGATTTTTTAGTTTTTAAAGTTTTTGTAATTTTTTGTATTCTATTTAAAAAAATAAAGTTAGGTATTATCAGTATCAAATTAATATTTATTATAAATTATAAATATATAACATACTTTGATTGGTTTAAAATATAATAAAAGAGATATTTTTCAATTGATTGGTCGATTGAAGAGAATGGTAAAGATCCTGCATAATAACTTGCTTTAAGATTACCGAATGTAAGTTTAACTTGAGTTAATTCGCACATTTCTAAATCGAATTCGACTGTACCATTTGCAATACCTTGATTACGTAAAACCAATTTATGATGAACTGGACCATTAAGAATTGTAAAAAAATCTAATTGTGATGAACCAATAAAGTTATCGCCCATAATACATGAATCCCAACATTCAATTTGAAACATTTTTCTTACTAAATCATTTCTATTTAATGTAGTTTGTACAATCTTTTCATATTTAAACTGTGGTGTTATTGATTTACTAATAGTTTCTGTTTTACTTTTTTTAAATTCATCCATTGAATACTGTTATTATTAAAAAAAAAAATTAATAAATAATATTTTAAAATTATTATTATATTTTTTTCAAATTACTTTTACATAAGGATCGATATTTATATTATTATTGTTATGATTTTCTTTTTTTAAAGTTAAATCATAACATTTAATATTTGAAAGTTTTAAGATATAGTTATTCATTGTTGAAGTGAATATGTATATATATATAATGTATTTGTGAATGTATAAAAAATTTAATTGTATGTTGTAAAAAAAAATACTATGGCAAAAAAAATTTCAAAAAAAATTGTAAAAAAAAATTTTTATTCCATTTTTTTTATTTTATAATTTAAAAAAAAATCTACCCAACCTAAAAATTTAAACCTGTATTATTTTTTAATTTTACGAGAAAATTATATTTTTTAATTAATATTAACACCAAAAAATAAAAATAATAAAAAAATTAATATTTACAAAAAAATTAATTATGATTTAAAAAAAAATAATTAAAAAAAATTTTATCTTCTTTTTTTAATGTAGTTAATTTTCGTTCTAAAAAATTACCCCTTATTTTTTTTTATATTTAAAATGATCGATAAGGAAATAAATAATCACAATTACATTTGTAATTTATAAAAAAAAAAAAAACATATTTTTTTTTCCAACCAACATTATTTATTTCTATTTTAATTAGAAAATCTGATAAAATAAAATTTTAACTTTAAAAAATTTGCTTTTTAAAAAAAAACAACTATATAATAAAAAAATTATTTGAATATTTACATATATAGAAACAACTGATAATTATTTATATTTTTATTTAAATTTAATTTAAAATAATTTAATTTTCTTTTTTTTTTTTTTAAAAAAAAGTATATAAATACTTTTTTTAAAATATTCAAATATATCAATATAATCATTTAAGATAATAAAAAATAAAAATGGCAAAGTTTATTTCAATTTTATTAATTCTTTGTTTATTCACAAGTTATTCATTAAGCTTTAAAACTTGTATCAATTCAACATATTGTCAAGTTATTAACAACCCATACAAGTACATCCAATCAGAACAATTAAACTCTATCCCAGCATCCACCCAAGCTCTTATTACAAAAGTCAAAAATCATTATTGCCAAGCTTCAGTAATGGATTCTGAATGTAGAATGACCCCAAGTGATTGTTCAGGTTTAAATAAAGAATGCAAAACCTATATTGGTACACCAACCTGGAAGAAAATGCCTCCAGCCGGTTTACAACTTTTAAAAGGTTTATTCAAACATTGTGACTCTAAATTAATGGATTGTCCAATTTAAATTGTTAAAACAAAATAATATTTTTATTTTTTTAAAAAAAAAAAAAGTTTATTAAAGTAAAATAAAGATTATTTATTTCATAAAAATTAAATTATTATTATTTTAAAATTTATTATTATTTTTATTTTTGTTTAAATCGGTTCTTTTTTTGGATTTATAAAGTAAAGGAATAATATTCAAAATTCCCAAACAAAAAAAATTATATAGTTTTTTTTATTTTTTGTATTTTGTTAGGGGTGTGGTTTAAAAATAACAACACACACGTTAAGCATTTCCCAAATTTATAAATAAAAAAATTATTGGTATTTTCCTATTTTATTTTTTTAGTTTTAACCATTTTTGTTTTTATTATAATCAAAAACTACTTCCATTATCATAATTTATATCTATATATTTATAAATAGTAATAAAACTGATTATAATTATTTCTTTTAAAATTTATTTTAAAAAAATAATTTTATAATTTTTTTTTTTTTTTTTTAAAATAAAAATAAAAAAGTATTTAAATCATATTTTTTTATTCTATATTTTCAATAAAGAATAACTAAATATTTAAATAGTGATCAAATACTAATACTTTAAGAAATGGCCAAATTAATTTTAATTTTGTTAATTATTTTCTTTGTCAGTCACATGGCTTTGGGTTTTGAAAAATGTATCAGTCAAACTGATTGTGCCAATGTTCAAAAAGCCATCATTGATATGGAAAAGAATGCCCCTAAAACAGATCAACATAATGGTGAAATGGACAACTTTAAGAGAATTATAAATGAAAATTGCAAACTAAAGAAATGCACCATGGAGACCGACTGCAGAAAGTTTATCGATGGATACCAAGCTCACAAAAATGATTTATCAAAACTCAAGAAAGAAAACAGAGATGCCTTATTAAATATTCTCCAACATAACTGCGGTGTTAAAACCAATTAAAAAATATATTTTCATTTTGAAAAATATAACCCAAAAAAAAATATTTTATACACTACCTATGTGTATTTTTTATACTTTAATAATTTAAAATAAAATAAACAGTACAACAAAACTTTAGTTTATTAAAAAATATAATTAAAAATCTTCTTTTTGTATATTATTTTTTTTATTTATTTATTTTTTTATTTTTTATGACACACACTTTATATCTTTTCATATTAAAAAACATCTTATTTTGGTTTTTCTATTAACCACCATTACATTATTTTTTCATCAAATATTTATTTATTTCTGTTTATATATTTGTGTTTGTGTTTGTGTTTGATATTACTATAGTGTGCCTTTAAAAAAATGGAAAGATTATCTTTTCGCGAGAATCAGTTAAGATTTAATTGGTAGTTTAAACATTTACTGATCCGAGTTAAGATACAAAAATAAAAAAAATAAAAAAAATAAAAAAACCAACCACTACAAAACCCACATATGTCTATATAAAAATTAAATAATATCTATTAAAGAAAATTTAATATGTTTTTTTTTTTTAAATATAACTTTAAACATTATTTTTTTTTATTTTTTTTTTGTTTTATTTTATTTTGTTTTGTTTTGTTTTATTTTATTTTTTTAAAAAAAAAAAAGTATTTAAAATATTTTTTAATGTATATTCAGTGTTGTGATTAATTTATTTGTTTTATATATATATATTGTTGGAGAATGATGAAACTAGTTTCTATTTCTATTATATTTTTATTATTTACAAGTTTGGTGGTTTGTTTCCATAATTGCATTAGTATCAAGGACTGTAATAGTATTTTAGACGCCATGGCTACATATCCACACAAGAACACCACGATATATAGATCGGTTAGAAGAATTATCAATGTAAACTGTGGCCGACAACCCACCTGTACAATGAGCGCAAATTGTTCTAGTTTTATAAATAGCTATAATGTTCACAAAGCTGAAATAGAAGAGGTGCCAATAGATTTTAGAAATGCATTATATGATATTCTTGAAAACAATTGTTATTTAGTTTTTGAACGAAATCAGACATCATCAAGTGCCTAATTACCACACTGTGGGGATGGGTTTCATCACCACATTTTTAATTATATTATTATTATTATACATTGTAATACCATTATTGTTATTATTATTTTAAAATAAAAAATAGATTTTGTTACTAAATTTATTTTATCATTTTTTATGGTATTTAAAAATATTTATTTATAACTTTTTTAAAAGAAAATTTATTATTTTTTTTCTATTTTGTTCAAAATAATTACAAAAAATTAAATTAAAAAATAAATAAAAAAATTTTATTTTTTTTTAAATTTTTTTTTTTTTTTTTTTTTTTTTTTTTAAATTCATAAAAATAAAAAAAAAAAAAAAAATATTTTTAAATTTAAAAAAAAAAAAAGTGTATATATAGATATATTTATTTATTGTTCTAAATCTTTTTAGAACTAAACACAAAACACATTCACCATATATATATTATATTTTTTATATATAAAATAAATTCATATTAACATTCATTTTATATATATACACTTTATTACTTTTTTTTTTTTTATTTTTTATTATTTATAACGTGAACATCAAATAATAAACCATTTTTGTATAAAACCAACCTTTTTTTATTTTTTTATATTGTATTTTTTATTTTTAAAATAATAAATCAAAAATTACATATAAATAATTTTTTTAAAAAAATAATTAATAAACACATCCACCTCAACACATATTTATTAAATAATAATAATAAGTAAATAAATAATATTAATTATAATAAATAATTTATTTATAGATTAATCTAAATATTTAGGCAATTCTTCTTTTTATTTTTTTTTAAAAAAAGAAAAGATTAATAATAAACAATAAATCATTAAATAATAAATCATTAGAATAAACTAATAACAAGTAATAAAATAATGAGTCAACCAAAAGATAAAAAGAAATCTTTTAATAACACTGGTAGTGGCGGTGGAACTGGTGGAAGTGGTGGATATAATTCATCACCAAAACATGGTAATAACAGAAATAGCAATAAACAACAATCACCATCACATCATCATAATAATAATAATACTATAAACAGTCATCAACCACATTCATCTCAAGCACAAGACGGTTTAACTCAAATGAAAGAAAGAACAGTTTATATGTCAATGAGTTTAGTTGGTCAAGTGATCAGTGTTACATTAAAGAATGGCGACATTTATGAAGGTATTCTATCATCAACTCAAACTAATACAGCTGGAGATAAAGGTGGTAGCGGAGGTTGGGGTCTAGTATTAAGAATGGCAAGAAAGAAAGATTTAAATAACAAAGTAATTACAACTCAACCATTACCAATTATTATTATTCAAGCTAAAGACTTTTTACAACTTACAGCAACAGGTGTAGTTTTAGATCACTATAAAGATTCATTTATGAGTAGAGAACTCTTCTACACCGATACCGAATTAAGTGGTTTTGATGGCAACCTTAAAGAACGTGAACTTCTTCCATGGACTCCAGATCCAACATTCGATGGCTCATTAGAAGATTTTGGCGAAAAAAAACCATCCAACTGGGATCAATTCGAAGCAAATGAAAAATTATTTGGTGTTACTACAAGTTATGACGAAGATCTTTATACAACTCGTTTAGATAGAGACTCCGATTTCTATATTAAAAATCAAAGACTTGCTGAAAGAACTGCTCACGAAATTGAAAATGTAATTAAATATAATAGTTTTTTACAATAATATTGTTTTTTAATATTAATATTTTTTTTTATTTTATTAAAGGAAAAATCATCAAATATTCATTTATTAGAAGAGCGTGGTTATATTGAAGGTGCAGATTATGATGAAGAAGAGCGTTATAGTTCAGTTGTTAGAAAAGGAGGTGTTACAAATGGTAATAGCCCATCAACTACCACCACCACATCATCAACTACTATTTCATCGACATCATCAGTTTATATTCCACCATCTAAACGTGGCCAATCAGGAAAATCAACACCTAATCAAAAATCACAAGATGCAATTATATCACCACCAACTTCCACTACTACTACCACCTCAACTAAAACCTCAATCGATACATCAACTATATCACAAACATCCAATACACCAAGTACAGGTTCAACACCATCAACACCATCGACACCATCAACACCATCGACACCAAAATCATCTTCACAATCAGTTTCAAATAATTCACCATTAGGCGAAAATTACAATAAAGAATCACCAAACATTTCAAAATTACGTTTTGGTTCACAAGCAATCGAACAAGAAGCTATGGGATCACCACGTGAAATTTTATCACCACGTACAGTCGCATACACTCATTACAGAAAGGTATTATTATCAGAACCACATGCCAAATTGAACCAATTAAATCAATTAAAATCATCATCTCAAGGTGTTGCTACTACTCCATCCTCACAAGCGGAAACTCCAAAATCACCAGCACCAATGATCGTATCCGATCACGGTTTAGTAAGAGCTCTTTCATTGGAAATAGCCACTCCATCTGTTCCAGAAAACGTTGTAAATGAATTCAATAGCTTTAAATTAAAAAATCAACCAAACGTTAATCGTGGCTTTGAAACTCAAAATCTTAAAAGTTTTAGTAGTAATTTAGTTATTAAATCGAAATCAAGACCAGGTTCACCATTAATCGGATCTGGTTCACCACGTCCAACTCCAACTCAACTTTCTTTAGCTGCCACTACAGTCGAAGAAATTAAATCTACAACAACAATGGCTGCACAAGTTAAACAAGCATTAAGCGCCGATGAAAAAGATTCTGAAAAAACTAATGATGAAAAGAAAGATGAAGAAAATAAACAAACAACAAGCGAAAAGAAAGAAGATGAAAAGAAAGATTCAACTACTTCAACTACAACCACAACCACTACAACATCAACTTTAACATTAAAATCAAGATTAAAATTAAATCCAAATGCTAAAGAATTTGTACCACCAAGTTCAAGTAAATTATCAGCACCAAAAGCAGTACCAGAATCAAAAACTGATAGTATTACACCAATTAATGAAATTTATTATGAATCAATGAAAAAAAGATTACAGAATCAAGAATCACCACACTCTGTACCATCCTATTGGAGTGATCAATATATCCGTTTCGATGATCAAATTGACCCAGCATTAGCTTATGGATATCCACATCTCAGAGGTCCAGTTGGTCCAATGAGTCCTGTACCATTTTATCATCATTTACCACAAGCTATGGTCCCACCACACGCTCAAATTCTTGGTCAACCACCAAAAGGAGGTATGATTCACGCTGGTATGATCCCACAACAAGCCCCACCAGGAGCCATGGGTGGTAAGGCTATTCATTACCCACCACCACAATCACAACAAGGTGGCCAAACTCCACCACCACCAGGAGTTCAAGTTAGAGGTCAACCATTCATACCGGGACATGCTGGTGTACCAGTTGGACCACCACCAAATGGTCAACCATTTGTTTTTACCCAACCACCACCATTCCACCCATCAGCTTATCAATTACATGCCCCAGGTATCCCACAAAAGAGATATCCACAAGGTGTTACACCACATTATGCTCCACAAAATGTTCCCCCACATATGAACCAATATCAACAAATTATTTTACCTGGTCAACCACCTTCACCACAAAATTCAATGGGTGTCCCACCAAACCAAGAAGGTGGTCATAGAATTAATTATCCTCCAGCTTATATTCAAAGACAATATCACCCAAATGATCAACAATATCATTAATAAATAATTTAATATATAAAAAATTAATAATATTAAAAATAAAAAATAAAAAATAAAAAGAAATATAAAAAAATAATCGCTAGTTATTTTCCATAAACCATTTTAATTTAATTTTTTTTTTTCACTAAAATCACTAAAAAAATAATAAAAAAATAAAAAAAAATAAAAAAATTTTATTTTTATTTTTTTTATTTTTATTTTTTTAATTATTTTTTTACAATCATCATTTAATTATTTTAATGATGAATAATAATTCTATTAGGCATATTTCATTAACTGATAGAATTGTGTTATCATGGAAGGGAAATATTTTTAGAAGGGCTATAGCACTTGCAGATGTAGATAACGATGGTGACAATGAATTAATAGTTGGTAGTTTAGAAGGTAATTTAGCAATTTTTAAAGGAATGTCAGAAAAGCCATGGAAAATATCAAGCGGATTGGGATCTATTAGTTGTATTTCTTGTGGTGATTTAGCTAATTCTGGTAGAAAGTTGATTATTGTTATATCTTCTGAAGGTATTTGCAATATCTATGATCTTTCTGAACAATTACAATCAAATGAAATAAATAACAATATTAATTTAAATAATAATAATAATAATAATAATAATAATAATAATAATAATAATAATCCAAATATAATAATTCAAAGTGATCAAGTTTCAGATAATTCATCAACATCTTCTTTACAACAACCCACAATTTTATCATCCCCCAATATTATTGTAGATGAAAATTATGAAGTCAATAACTATACCCATCAACATAATAATTCTACTAATGATTCAACCACAATTTCTACAGTTTCAGTAACAAACTTATCAACTGAATTGGTCGAAAACAATACTCTAATAAATGAAATAAATAATCAAACAAATGAAGATGAAAACCCTTTAAATGTTACAGATGGTTTAGAAATAAATGAAAATAATAATAACAATAACAACATTAATAATAATAATAATAATAATAACAATAGTAGTAATAATAATAACAATAATAATATCAATAATTCCCTATCAAATTCATACGAAGACAACAATATATTGGTTCCAATACTCTCACAAAGATTACCTCCAAATGCATCATCAATTCTAATTGGGGATATTGACGATGATGGACAAAATGAATTAGTTATTGGTACATATGATCATACTTTATTTTCATTTTCACTAAAAGACTCATCAAAAGGAATATCAGATTCCGATAATTCAATTAGTAGTACAAATATTATTCTCAACACTCAAGATAATATAAATAATGAAAATTTTGATCATAATAATTACAATAACAATAATAACAATAATAGCAATAATAATAATAATAGATTTTCATTAATTATAAAAAATAAATGGCAACTACCTGGTCAAATTGGATCACTAGTTCAAGCAAAAGAATTAGGAGAAAATATATTAATAGTAGGTTTATGCGAAGGTACAAATTATATTATATTAAATAAAAAAGGACAATTATATAAAGAAGGTGCAAATGAATACCATGGATTTAATTATCATAGTGATTCATCAAACACTGATGTAGTTAGTGCAAGTGGTAGCAGTGTTGGCAATCTATTCTCACCTTCGTTAGGCGGTGCTAGTGGCAATAGTGGCAATACCATAATAAACACAGGTTCATCGAATATGTCAACATCAGGGAATACTGGTACATCATCAATAGTGGCGAACCAATCAACCAATACAGACCCATTAAACATTTCAAATAGAAAAAAAAGAACAGAAATTATAACAAACATAAGTTGTCCAATTAGAGTGAATTTTCCTTTGTTAGACGATGAGAATGATCCAAAGAAGAGTAGTAGTATCGTATCAATTGCAACATTAGATGGTATACTGAGATTACAAAAAATAGGTATAGGAATAGTATGGAAAATGGAAATAGAGGAAATGGGCAGTGGTCAATTAATTTCATTACAAACCATTCAACTGGATCAAAATAAAATAAATAATAATAGTAATAGTAATAATAATAATAATAATAATAATAATAATAATTTTAATTCAAATGACTATATAGTTGCATGTGGTTGGGATGGTTTAACATTAATCGTTGATCCAAAACAAAGAAATGTTATATCCTATAAATTTGGCGACAGAGTTTGTGCATTTACTTCAGGTTCTTATTCGCTTACCAAAGGTACTTTCAGTAATTGTTTTATCTATGTAACTTTTTTTGGTGAAATTATTATTTATTACGATATAGCTCCAAATATTCAACCTGTTCACAGTTTAACATTTCAAACAAAAGCAGAATGGAATAAATTTTCAAATGATATTATGTCACCACAAATAAATAATAGTGATAACGATAATGATAACGATAACGATACCCCCTCTTCAAATTCACCCACTTACCAACACAATCAATTTGATCAATCAGAAACCTTCAGTTTATTATTATCTCAAAATTTTAGTTTATCAAAATTAAAAGAGTATTTAGAATCACTCCAAAAAAAATAAAATTTTATTTTAATTTTTTATTTAAGTTTAATTTAATTTATATTTAAATTGTTTTTTAATTTCTATGGATCAATAATACAACTATTAAAGCTATATTTTCCGATTGGGTTTTTTTAAGAAAGAAATTATTTTTATTTTTTTTTTAAAAAATATTATTTATAATTGGTTAATTTATTATTTATTTAAAATTTTAAATAATGGTTTTTAATTTATAGTTATCTTTGTAACAGTAGTTTTAATTAAACTTCTATTGAAAATTATAAATTTTAAAAAATCAATTTATAATTAATATAAATTATTTTTATATTTTTTATTAATTATATTTTATTTAATAAGGAAAAAAAAATAAAAAACTCAATAGTAATTAATATATTTGAAAAAATTTAAAAAAAAAAGACAAGACACATTTCTATTATTATATTTGAAAAAAAAAAAAAAATTAATTGACACAAACTCTGATATATATTTATTTGTTAAAAGCATTATTATTTTTATTTTATTATTTAAATAAAAATATACATTTTTAATTTTTATAATTATTTTTTTTAATATTTAAAAAAAAAAATAAATAATTAAACAAAGATAAAATATAATAAATTATATTGTAAAATTTATTAAGATAATAAAAAAATAATAATAAATAAACCAATAATAAATAATATTATAAAAAAAATGTAATTATCATTTCTTTATTTATAGTGATTAATTTTTTTTTTTTTTTTTTTGTAATCATGTAGTTCCTGATTTTTTTTTTCCTTTATGAGGAAAAAAAAATATTTAATTTTAAAAAAAAAGGCATTGTGTGGGAAAACCGGGTTTTCAAAACCCCCACATAATTTTTATAATCATTTTTTTATTTTTTTTTTAATTTTAATTTTATGTTTTTTTAATTTAAATTTTATGTTTTTTTTAATTTAAATTTTTTTAATTTTTTCATAGCTTGGAATAAATATTTTTTTTTTTTTTCTTTATTATTTTGTCAACATAAAAAAAATTTTATAACTTTATTTTTTTATATATTATAATACATACAATAATATTTTAATAACAATAATAATTTTTATTTTAATTAATAATAAATAACTTATAAATAATAATCCATATCACCACTCCGTATTTTAATCAATAATGGATTATTTATATTATTTTTGTGTTTTTGTCATTGGTGTTTCACTTTTATATATTATTCAACATTTTTATATAGTTATATATAACAACACCAACAACACCAACAACACCAACAACACCAACAACTCCAACGCCAACAACAACGCCAACGCCAACGTCAATGCTGATGCCAACGCCTACGCCAACGCCTACGCTAACTCCAACGCCAACTCCAACGCCAACTCCAACGCTAATGCCAATGCTGATGCCAACGCCAACGCCAACGCCAATGCTGATGCCAACTCCAACGCTAATGCCAATGCTGATGCCAACTCCAACGCCAACGCCAACTCCAATGCTGATGTCAACTCCAACTCCAACACCAATGCTGATGCCAACGCCATCTGTACAGCTTTCTTAGAACAAGACCTCCTAAGACAACAAGTACAACAACAACAACAACAACACCCAGAGCCACAGCCACAGCCAAAACCTAAAAACACTGGACCAATCCCTGGTTATAGAATGCTATTTAAAGCTATGGAAGAGTACGAGCGCCAACAACAAGAACAAGAATCAGAACCAGAACCAGAACCAGAATCAGTACCACAATCACAACCAAAACACACTGGATCAACCCCTGGTTATAGATCACTCTTTAAAGCTATGTATGAATTCGAGAAACAACAACAGGAATTAGAACCAGAACCAGAACAAGAATTAGAGCCAGAGCCAGAGCCAGAGCCAGAATCAGAATCAGAACCAGAGCCAGAGCCAGAGCCAGAGCCAGAGCCAGAGCCAGAGCCAGAGCCAGAGCCAGAATCAGAATCAGAGCCAGAGCCAGAGCCAGAGCCAGAGCCAGAGCCAGAGCCAGAATCAGAATCAGAGCCAGAGCCAGAGCCAGAGCCAGAACCAAAGCCAGAACCAATTTACCCAACATTCAACCCATCTCACTCACGTTATGCTGCTACCACCACTGCCACTGCCGCAACAACAACCAATCAATTATCTACAAAACCACGCTCACGCGCACAACAACGTTCACGTCCACAACCACTTCCACGTCCAAATCCACGTCCAAGTCCACGTCCATGTCCACGTCCACGTCCATGTCCACCTCCACAACCACGCTCACGCCCACAACACAATTCCCCAAGAGCACGTTCAAATAGATATCCAACATTAAATAGAGAGCATTCACGTTATAATGCCGTTGGTAATTCTCAATCATTCAATGTTCCACAACAATGCCCACAACAACCACAACAACAATTTACACCATCAAGGGCAAATTCCAATTACCCAGCATTTAATAGTGCTCATTCTCGTTTCAATACTGCAGGTGAACCATCAAGTATTCCAGCAACCAACCAACAAAGTGCACACCAATCAGAATACCCATCATTCAATGTAGACTATTCTCGTTATGAGTGTGCAGGTTCACCAACCCCATCAAACAACCCAATTTTCGATTCTGCTGATGAAGAAAAATTAAAAAGAGATCAAGCAGAAAAAGACCGTATTGAAAAAGAAATGTTGGAAGAAGAAAGATTACAACAAGAACGTGTTGAAAATCAAAGACTAGAACAAGAGCGTATCCATCAAGAAGCAATTGAAAGAGCACGTATTCAACAAGAAATTTTAGAAAAAGAACGTGCTGATAAAGAAAGAATTGAACAAGAACGTCTTGAGCAAGAAAATGAAAATATTGGTGACTGTTCCATTTGTTACATTACATTAAATACCACCAATGTCTGCTCCATCGAATGTTCTCATAAATTTTGCTTCAACTGTATCCGTAAATGGTTAAAGGAAGATAATACTTGTCCATTATGTAGAAAAGAGTTTTATTTTGTCAAAGTAAGTAATTCATACATTCATATTTATATAATTAATAAAACATATATTAATTTATTTCTTTATTTAATTGCAGATAGAGGGTCAAGCAGAGAAATCAATTTATGATGTTATATCAGATGATAATTCCGATGAAGATTCCGATGATGATTCAAATAATGGTGGCAACAACAATGATAATAGATCAGACTCTAATTCCCACGCTGATCATAATGATAATTACGACTCTGGATTCGTTCACAACAACGATAACGAATATGGTTTCAATCCTGATGACTACCTTCCAGATGAATATTTTATCAATAACGACAACCATTTATTTGATGATTCAAATCCAGAAGAATCTGTTGACTATATGAATCTCAATTAAATTTAAAATAGTTAACATAATCATCAAAGGAATTAAAGAAATAATATCATCATTATCAACTATAAATAATAAATAATGCATCATAAAATTCAACCCTTTAGAAAAAGCTCAGAAAAAGACAAGTAGATACTTAAAAATCCAAAAACCATTACAAAAGCAAAATTTAAAGGTAAAAATAATAATAACATTAATATAAATATAACTATATTTGATTATAAAAGATACTAACACTTAATTTTAAATATTTATTTAGTTTAATTCAAATTCTTTCTTTATAATATCAAAACGCTTATTGTTTAAAGTCTAATCAAAAATTTGGGGTCTTTGTTCCATCACGCCACATCCAAAGTCATAATACAGCAGCATAACCACACATATCCAACATCAATACTGGCATTCATCTTGGTCCTCAGCATTATCATTAGCATCCTCACTGGCATTCGTCTTGGTCCTCAGCATTATCATCAGCATCCTCACTGGCATTCATCTTGGTACTCAGCATTATCATCAGCATCATCACTGGCATTCATCTTGGTCCTCAGCATTATCATCAGCATCCTCACTGGCATTCATCTTGGTCCTCAGCATTATCATCAGCATCCTCACTGGCATTCATCTTGGTCCTCAGCATTATCATTAGCATCCTCACTGGCATTCATCTTGGTACTCAGCGTTATCATCAGAATCCTCACTGGCATTCATCTTGGTACTCAGCATTATCATCAGCATCCTCACTGGCATTCATCTTGGTCCTCAGTATTATCATCAGCATCCTCACCGGCATTCATCTTGGTACTCAGCATTATCATCAGCATCCTCACTGGCATTCATCTTGGTACTCAGCATTATTATTAGCATCCTCACTGGCATTCATCTTGGTCCTCAGCGTTATCATTAGCATCCTCACTGGCATTCATCTTGGTCCTCAGCATTATCATCAGCATAATCACTGGCATTCATCTTGGTACTCAGCATTATCATTAGCATCCTCACTGGCATTCGTCTTGGTCCTCAGCATTATCATCAGCATCCTCACTGGCATTCATCTTGGTCCTCAGCATTATCATCAGCATCCTCACTGGCATTTATCTTAGTCCTCAGCATTATCATTAGCATCCTCACTGGCATTCGTCTTGGTCCTCAGCATTATCATCAGCATCCTCACTGGCATTCATCTTGGTCCTCAGCATTTTCATCAGCATCCTCACTGGCATTCATCTTGGTACTCAGCATTATCATCAGCATCCTCACTGGCATTCGTCTTGGTCCTCAGCATTATCATCAGCAGCATCCATCAGCAGCATTCATCTTGGTCCTCATCAGCATCCATCTTACCGGCATTCATCTTGGTCCTCATCATCAGCATCCTCATCAGCATTCATCTTGGTCCTCAGCATTATCATCATCATCATGAGCATCCTCACTGGCATTCGTCTTGGTCCTCAGCATTATCATAATCATCATTCATCTTGGTCCTCAGCATTATCATCATCATTAGAATTCATCTTGCCCCTCATCATCATCAGCATTCATCAGCATAAGCTTTCATAAGCAGCAGTATCATCAACCCTAAAGCTTTATAAAGGAACTTTTAGTAAATCAGTAATAATTAATAATTTTGTGGGTAAAAAAAAAAAAAAAAAAAAAAAAAAAAAAAAATAATAATAATAATAATAATAATAATAATAATAGAATTAAACATTCACATATTTCAATCTATTTGATGGAAGAAATACATTTTCCCTGGCCAGGAAAATATATTGGAACATCAAATGATTTTAATATCGAAAATATTTTCATTATCAAAAAGATTTCATTGGTATTTTCATATTATATATTATTTCAACATCAATTATAATAATTAAATTAACAAATAACAATCAGTTAAAAAGTATATTTAGTTCAATTTAATTATTATCAATTCAGATTTCATTTTTATATTTCATAAAGAGTTAGTTATATAATTATATATTAATAAAAAAATAAAGATTAAAAATTTATAACATATTTATTTTTTATTTTCTTTTTTTATTTTCTATTATTTTTTTACTGGTTTTTATCTTTTTATTTTATTTTAGTTCATAATTTTATATATCGATTTTTTAAAAAGAAATATTTTAAAAAAAAATTTCAAAATTAATTTCAAAATTTAATTTTTTTTTAATTAAATTTTTTTTTTTTTTTTCATTTTTTAATTAAAATTTTCATAACACATAATTTATTTGCATACACTATGTATATATATAGTTTTTTAAAAAAATAAAATCTAAATAATTTTAGATTTATTAATATAAATAATTTCAAAAATAATATAAAATGACAATAACAGATAATAATTCAAATATTGATAGTTTATTAAATAATAAATTAAGAGATAGCTTAAATAATAATATTAGTAATAGTAATAAAAATTCACACAGTTGTTTTCATCATAGAGATAAGAATTGTTATAATAATTTTGTAAAAGTCGAAGAAAGTCCATTTTATTGGGATGCTATTGCAGTAACCGCACCAAAGTACGAACATGCAGAAGAGTTTTTAAAAGAGTTACAAATTAGGCAAAATGAAGGCATGATATCCAAGAAAACCTTTTTAATTTCAATACCGGATCCACACATAAATACTGGGAGAGAACATTTATTAAAAGTTGATCATGACTTGGAAATTGACGCTCATTCACTAACATCTACAGCCGCTTCAATTGAACCAGATTTGGTAATTGGTAAATTAAATCACCAATATCCCAATAGAAAAGATAGATTCTCTGGTAGTAGTTTTAACAATGAAAATGAAGAAAGTAGAGGCCATAGAGGGTCATGTGATTCACCGGCACCTGGTTCACCTAACGAAGATTCATCAACTCAATATTCATATTCTTACCATAACCATAAAAGTTATTCTAAAGTTGGCAGTGGCTCATCAATGATAAACTCTTTATTTGTAATAACAGAAAAATTATCAGCACTTTCTGGAAAAAGCTATTTAGATAGTGATATATTAAAGAATAAAAGAATTCTATTGCTTTTAAATGGTGGTATTCATCAACATGCTCCGCTTGTTAATCTCTGTACCAAAAGTTTCAGTATGCTCCCATTAAATAATGTAAATTTAGTTTATGATAGATGCTCAAAACTAAAGAAATTTGTGGGTGACTCTCCAGTGTATCCAATCGATATTTTATTATCTAATTTAAATGTCATATTACCTCATGCTCAGCCTGGCTTCATGGTGTGTTCTACCGAATCTTTAATATTTTTAGATTTAAATGATAAGAATCTAAATAGTCCCTCAAGTTGGCAAAAACCTGGTGTATCAGTTATTACAATGGATGTTGGTCCAGACTATTATACAAATCATGGTGTTTGTAGATTAAATGAAAAAGACGAGATTTTAGAAATTGCCTATAAACGAAGTGCAGAATATTTATCAAATAATGGTTTCATATCAAAAGAGGATAAAGCTTCAATATATACTGGTTTAGTCTTCTTTTGCCAAAAAACAACTGAAAAGCTATTATACCTCCATAATACACCACCGTTAGATTCATGTACCTATTTGGGTGTCGATAGTGGTTCCCAATTATTAAAATTTGGTGTTTTTCCAGGTATGTACATTAATTACACCCATTTAATTTCAATATTCATTAATATAATAAATACTAACTATTATTTTTCATAATAGATATTTTGTGTGCAATGACTAAACATGAAACATTAGAAAGTTATTTAAATCAACCATGCTTTCCGGGGTCAAATAAAAAATTGGTAGAGGGTGCAAGAAAAATTGTTTGGAAAACATTTAGAGATATAGAACTGCATTCAATTAAAATAAAAGGAAATTATTATTATTTTAAAAACCCAATGGATTTTTTGAACTTTATTCATAATAATGGTAAATATCAAATTTCAAGAAAAATGCATTCATTCATTGCCACTAAAAGTCCATGTAATGGGGTTGTTATCAATAGTATATTACTAGGTAATGGCAAGTGTTCAGATACGAGTATAATCTATAGCTCTGTATTAAGTGGGAATTGGTCAGTTGGTGAGGACTCTATTGTGTTTGGTGCAAAATCACTCTCTGCTAACTACCATATCAAAGATAGAATGATTGTAAATGAAATACGTTTAAAGCCCATTAAAATGAAGCATTCATCAAATGAAACTCCTCGAGCATTATTGGTATTGGGTATTCAAGATGATTTAAATTTATATTTTACAGATCCAAATGCTACAATTGCGAATAGAACATGGGAGGAATTTTTAAAAACTTCAGGTATAGCTCCAGAAGAATTGTGGTCAAAAGGTTTACCCAGAATTTTACGTACTGCTCGTTTATTCCCAATTATTGTGGACGATGAAGATGAAAAAATGATCGAAGCATCTCTATGGATACAAAATAAAGAATCACCACCATTAAGTGTAATTGGTAGATGGAAATCCTCTAAACGTGTTTCTATTTGCGATATAGTTGGGGAGTCATATTTATTAGATTATACTCAATTAGATATTAAAAATGATGAAACAAATAAAGATGTGGATACTAAACCATGTTCTTCATCTTTTGATACAGGTTCAAGTAAAGAATGGATTGTAGAGGGCAACATAGAAGCAGATTTTCAATCTCGTCGTGAAATTTCATTTCAAGTGGATTCTATGGAAATTGAAAACATATTGGTAAATGGTTTGGATCAATCAATCAATCCATTCATTCATAAATGGGATGAAAGTGGTATACCATTAGGAAGAGCATTAGAGAATTTAGATCGAATTTCGTTTTCAACTCCATTGCAATTTACCGGTCGTTTATTATCATGTATATCCGATACATTAGCGATTTATGTAAATAATAGAGGTGGCTTAAGATCTGGACCTGCGAAAAACTATAGCTGGGAAAAAGCTTTCAATTATTTTAGAAACCACGACGAAAGAAAGGGATTTTTATCATTAATTAAAGAACGTACTAAATGGTTGAATTCAAATGAAAATATGATTAGGGCTGCAAGACACTATGAAGGTGCTGGTCAAATAGTTATTAAAAACATTGTGGATACCTGCCAGACTCAACTATGTAAAATGGATCCTGAAAACTATAGAATTCTTCAACATAATGAATGGGTATGCATTTCATTACCGGTAAGAATAGATTTAGCAGGTGGATGGTTAGATGCAGCACCAATATGCTATGAACATGGAGGAAATGTTATAAATGCCGCTGTTTCAATTAGAGGAAAGAACCCCATTGAATGCAAAGTAAGAAGAATTAATGAGCCGGTATTGATATTCAATGTTGTGGGTTCATCATTAGACCCGGTAGTATGTAGCACCTTATTGGATCTTTTAGACTATGACCAACCACATGCTCCAGCATCATTATTGAAATCATGTTTCCTTCAATTGGGCCTTATAGATTATTCAAGAAAGTGTAAAATATCTCTAAAAGAACAATTGGAAAAATTAGGTGGTGGTATTGAAGTAAGATCAACATCAAACTTACCCACAGGTTCAGGTTTAGGTACATCAAGTATTTTAGCAGCAGGTCTAATATATGGGATTGCATATGCATATGGTTATAAATATAGTGACCAACATCTTTTCCACGCAGTATTAAAGGTAGAACAAATGTTAACCACGGGTGGTGGGTGGCAAGATCAAGTAGGTGGTGTACTTGGTGGATTTAAAGAGGGTAAATGCAGTAAATTCCAAGCAAAAGGTGACCACATCAATGTTACATTTGAACAAATTCAAATGTCAAATGAGGATATTGCAAAGTTTAATCAACATTTATTATTGGTTTATACAGGCAGAACGAGATTAGCAAGAGATTTACTTCAAGATGTTGTAAGACGTTGGTACGCTAAAACTTCAGAAATATTGGATACCACTAATAATCTTCTTAAAACAACCGAGAAAATGAGGGATGCATTAAGCAAATGTGATATAGAAGCTATTGGAAAAAATTTAATAGATTATTGGAATCAAAAGAAAACAATGGCAGCAGGTGCAGAACCATCAAGAATTACAGAGTTATTTAATAAGGTTAAAGATTTAGTCCATGGTTACTCACTAGCAGGTGCAGGTGGCGGTGGTTTTATGTTATTAATTACAAAAGAAGACTGTAGCTCCACAAAAGTTAAAATAGAAAATATTTTGAAGAATGTAGATGGCTTTGAAACTGTCGAATTCTTTGAAGCAACTATCAATACTAAAGGTTTAGAAACTCATTTTGAAAAGGTTCAAGACTTTTTAACAGTTCCAACTTTTGTCTCAAAATAAAAATTATTTTTTTAAATTATTTCTTTTTTTTCTATATTTATTTTTATTTGAAATTTGTTATTTTTAGTTAAAATTTGTGGTACCACACTGTATAAAATGTAATGTAGATGGAGCTACTTTACAAAAAGTTGGGCGCGGTAACGTCAATTCGTGCGAGATTCTGAAAACCTGCGAGACTGGTTTTATAGAATCTGTTTACAAAAAAGAACGCCTGGAAGATATTTTAAAATCAAAAATTGCCTCAAGCCGGGATCGAACCAGCGACCTTAAGAACTTCAGTCTCACGCTCGTACCAACTGAGCTATTAAGGCATTCATGGAGTATTTATTTTTTGCTTATATAAGGTCGAAAAAAATTTTCCTTACAAAAACCGAAAAAATTCATTTTAAATAAATAAAGAACCAATATTTAAACGTTATAGTTAAATACTATAAAAAGGTATTAATCTTTTCTTTTATCAATCAAATTGAATGTTTATATACAAAAATTAGTGGTAAATCATTAAAACAAAAAAAAGTTTTTATGAAAGAAAAAATAAAAATAATTCCATATCCCAAATAAAAAAAAAAAAGGATTATATATTTGAGTATTGAAAATATTTTTTTTGCATTTGATAGTAGTTACAGTATAAAATAAATAACTTTAATAATTTTTTTTTAAATTTACAAAAATTTGAACCCAATCATTTTTTTAGGGGTTAAAAAAGTTTTTATTTAGTTGTAATTTTAATTTTTGAAGCCCCAATATTGGTAAAAGTGATTTGGTTTCCACCAAATTTTCTTTCAAGCTTTATGATTTTACCTACTGGAAGAATTTCTTCAATTGATTTCTATTAAAAAAATTAAATATAAATAAAAAATTATTAACATATAAAAAACTTTAATACATACTCCTGAGAACATTTTAACCTTTCCTTCTTTGGAGTCAAGATTTTCAATTGTAATTTCTACCGATCTTGGCCAATTATTTGATGGACAAACATTGGTTTGAGTTGGAACTAATGTAATATTGCAACCTATATTAATTTTTAAGTCAGTTAATGAAAAAAATATATTTTATAGTTTTATATATATACCTGGCATTATTTTTTTAATAAATAGTTTATTTTGTTTTTTATAAATATATAAATAAAAAAAAAAATTTCAATATAAATAATATTTTTATTTTTTAATAAAATAAAAATATTTTTAAAAAAAAAAAATTAGATTTCAAAAGATTGGGTATTTAAAAATAATAAAAATCTGTATATATTACATATATTTGTTTAATTAATAAAAAATTGAAATAATTATTAATTCGCTGTTCTTTATTCCAAAAAATAAAAAATTTCAAACTTACATTTAATTTTACAACTTAAAAATTTCAAAAAAAAAATAATTTTTTTAATCTAATAAAAATACCTGGGAAAAAATATTCATTAAATAGAGATAAATAATTAGTTTTAATAAATCATTTTAATTTTAAACTTTAAAGTCATGAAATAAAAAAAAATAAAAATAAAAAAAAATTATCAATAATTAATATTATTTCAATTAAAGAAAAAATAATTTTGTAAATAATAGTAAATATTCAATTATTTAAATTCAATTCCAAAATAATAATTAAATGTTAGATTCAATTTATTTGATATATAAGAAAAAAATTTAAATATTTATACCAACACGTAGTCATTTCTAACCTAACATAAAATCTTTTATTATAATTGTATTTTTGATCATACTTTGGTGACCCATTTCAAAGTAAAAAGTATATATAATATTTGCAAGAATGGCGTTTTTACAAAAAAAAAAAAAAAAATAAAATAAAAATAAATAACAAAATAAATAATCAGATGATACAAAAAAAAAAAGTTAAAACTATTAGTTTTAACTGCAAATTTATTATTATAATAATCATTTTTTTTGATTGTTTATTATCTGATGAAAAATAATTTTTGCCAACTGACTTAAAAAAAAAAAATTTTGGCAGTAATTATTTTTTTATTTTTTTTTTTATTTTTTTTTATTTTTTTTTTTATTTTTTTTGTATAAATATATAATCATCACATGATTTTTATTCATCGATTTCTATATATTATTAGAACCATGTTGTTATAATAAAATATAAAATCAGAATAATATGAAAAATGAAAAATACACCACACCCTTTCAATAACCACCCCCTTTCAATCAAACACACAATTTTTTTAAAAAAAATAATTTTCATTTTTTTTTTTAAAAATTAATACAATGACATCCCTTAGGCCTTATTAAAACCTTTGTATAAAATAAAAAAAATAAAATAAATTAAATAAAAAAATAAAACTAATATCAATTAGACTCTAATTACCAAACAAACTAAAAAATTAAACAACACAAAACCTTTTAAAATTTTTTTTTTTTTTTTTTCAATTCCGACCATTCATTTGTTTCCATTTTTTTATTTTATTTATTTAATATTATTTAATACTTTTTATTTTTATTTATTCAAATCAAATATTTTCTTATATATATTTATTTAAATATTTTTATTTCTTGCAAGTTTTTAGATTAAAGATCGATAAATAAATTCTTTTTTTGGTTGGAAAATAATTATTATTTTTTTTTTTTTTTTTTTTTTTTTTTTTTATAAAAACAATTGTATAAAAAATATTTTATTTTATTTGTTTTATTTTCTGTAATTGAAGTTGATGTTATTTTTAATTTTTTATTTATTTTTTTTATTTTATTTTTTTAAAATTCAAAATTAAAAAATATAAAAAACTCATTAAAATAATAACGTCAACTCGGTGTTCTGTTTTGATCGATAACATTCCATATTATATTTATTTATTTTATTTATTTTTATTTTTATTTTTTTAAATTAAAACTAAAATAAATTACCATAAAAATAAAATTAAATTCGAAAAAAATAAAAAAAAAAAATTAAATTTAAAAAAATAATTTTTTTTGTTTAAAATTAATTTAAAACTATAGTTTTTTTTCATAAACGGTATAATAATAATTTTGGTTTTTTTTTTTTTTTTTTGTTTTTTTTTTGTTTTTTATAACCATAACAAAAACTACCTACAACTATCTTTGTGTCACAACAAGATTATATTTAATTTTTTTTTATTTTTTATTTTTTATTTTTTTATTTTTTTATGTTATTTCAGTTATCCTATAAAAAAATAAATATTTTTAAAATTGATCAATTATTTTTTTTTAAAGGTTTTTTTTCTCATTTTCCATTTTCTATCATATAAAAACATAAATATTATTATTTTAAAAAAATAATTACTTTTTATTATAAAATAAATTTTATTTTTTAAAAGAAAAAGAGGTAAGCGCCGAAATTATAATAAA